CTTGAGTCAAGCCCTGTCGAACGCGATCGACAATATGGTAGATTATCTTTGTGGGTACGCTCAATGCACTTCATTATAGGCTGCAATCAACGAAAAATTGATATTACTGTACAATAATAATGTGTTATGGTTTATTGTTGTTGTTTGTTTGTTTGTTGGGGTTTAACGTCGCATCGACAGCTAGGTCATTAGCGACGGGTTCGCGACTCTTTATTGTCGTTCGAACTCACGACTATTTCCTCTGTAGCCTATATAGGTTACGATGGTATCGACAGTATTTCGAAGGTGAGAATCAACTGTAGTCAGGTTCTCGAAACACGTGGAACTGTGGGTCCTGTATTTTTACATGATTCGAACTTGCTTAACACATTGGGTTTCTCTCATTGTTACAACGTATACTTGATGGTGTCCTCATATTATTTGACTAAATCAAATAATCCAGAAATAATTCGCCAATGCCGAGTTTCGAACCCAGGACCTCTGGCTTTGTAGGTGGACACCTTCCCCACTCGGCCATACACCCGACCTGGTTTATTGTTATTTATTATCGTTTATTTGTTCATTATATTTATTATGATTGATGTTATTAATGTTGAACGATGATGGTTTACAGTCGCGAGTATCGATTGAGTAATCTAATTTGGGCTTATTGAATGTTTAATTCAGCTTAAGTATCGTAGTAAAATAACAAATCCCAGTGGATTCGGTACAGTTTAAATGTCACAGTTGAAATGTCGTCCAGTTGATAACTGGTGGAACCTCAGATGGACCTGAAGCAATTGCAAATATAATTCAGTACAGCTCGCACCGGGCGCTTGATCGGATCACACTAGCTTTTGTTCACTTTTGTATTATATTTTTAATTAATTCAATTGTATTGTTACTGGATTGTTATCTTTCCGTAAACACCTCAGTCCCTACAACGATAATATTTGGAAATGGTAATTTAAAAATAGAGTAGTCATATCTCTCCATAAAGAAAAGACGTAGTTTTTCTTGTTGACAGAAAAATATTGGAATTTCCAGTTGAATTCAACCCTGAAGTTCCAATGACTCCATACCATTCAATACACCTGTTGCAGACATATTATCACGTTCTACTAACCGACTCACCTGTCTCGGATAATGACAAACTAGCATGCTCCAGACTCTCTCACATACCTTCTCACGCATTATTCCTCTTCTTCCGCCATCTTGAGTCATATTCGTTCTTCAAGTACGGGAGTTATCTCAGGGACATGGATGGTGGATACGATTCGATGGAGATAGAATGGGGGAAATAAAAGAGGTGGAGTGAACAGCCTGGGGTTTACAACATGGGAACGATGAATTATACAGCAAGGGGGTCCTTTTATGGAAGTCATCTGCAGTCCTCTACACGAAATGAGAGGATGGGACCTCTTCTGATTCATGGGGAAATAAATATGGGACAAAAAGAGACAAGAATTTCTACAAATCGAAAGTTTTCCTTTGGAGTGGAAAGCATGAAGAAGCACTTGGAAATAAATCACATACATATTATGAATCGTTGGGACTTCGTATTATTGTATTTTTATGACGAAATAAATGTGTTCATTATGAATTCAGACACCCTCACTGTTCGGACCCTGACTTTCAGACTCAATTTCTCGACCTTGTTTTGACCTTCATTTTCTAATACTAGGAAAGGGGGCGCGCATGATTGGCTAGTGATTTATGCATATTATTTTTGATCATTATGTATTCATTTATTCATTATAAAAGAATTAATGTCCCCTTTTTTTTAGATTTGAGAGAAAACTTGAGAAATAATCTTCAAAAATTTTCATGATGAAAAATGCATGTTATAAAGTTTATGAAGTTGAATGAATATAATGGGGAAATTATTCTCCAATTTTTATATGTGTACTAGGGGGCTATGCCCCCACATATGACCCCCATAAACCCTATTTTGACCCTGAATCTGACCCATATGACCCTCAATCTGACCCTTGTGACCCTTAATATGACCCTCACGACCCTTAGTCTGACACTTGCGACCCATAATTTAACCCTTGTGACCCTTAATCTGACCCTCGTGATCCGTATTCTGACCCATATGACCCTTAATTTGGGAGTTTTAATTTCGAGTACCAAATTTTTATCACCAGAATTTGATTTGGATTTTTAGAATATAGAGATATGTATAATAAATATATTCATTTATCTATGTTAAAAAAAATTTCAAGATGAATAATGATAATCATATATTTACATTATTCATTTTTTTATATAAATGAATAAGTATTTTTTCTTCGTAAGCTAAGATAAACTTGAGATATTGCTAAGTCTAGCATATGCTTGGTGAAATATATTGCTGACTAAAAATGTTTCACCTGTTTTTTAATAGAACATAGCCTTAATTTCCTGTCGCCAAAAGTCGATTTAAATTTTCATAATACAGAGAAATAAAAAGAAACGATGATTTTTTTTTTGTTCGAAAAATGGAGGGAATTCTTTCTATTTCGATCTGTATTGTTTTATTTTTGAATCAAAGTCGAAAAGTTTCGTAATTATGAGATTGACATCTCCACAACAAAAAAATCAGCAACGATTAAATACCTTTTATTTGCAGCAAAGGTGATGAGTTTTAGTCTGTAATTGTCACCAGAAATAGAATTAGGCAGTTGACACTGCGAGACAGGATTGGAATGAGACGACACGATGGCGCCGTTTCTGCTAGGCAGACGGCCAGACAGGTGCACGTTTCGTCGTTACCATCATCAAAGGAACATGAAGATGAAAATAAAAGGAATTGAGAGGGACTGGGAACCCACCCAAGGGTCTCCACTTTGTCTCTCCTTTTCCACTTGGCTTTTGAGTGAAGAGTGGAGATATCGTCGAGTGGGGAGAAAAAAAAATATTGGAATTTGTTTTTGTTCGAAATGACTCGCAATGATCCTCACACTTGATACGTGAGACCACCAAACTCCTCACGATTGCCTTTCGTCATTCTCCTCTACCTGGTAATATCATCATGATCGAAATACGATAGGTTTGTTTTTCTTTAGAGAAGGATTAACGTGATTTTAATAACGTGTGGGTCATATATCACGATTTCGTAACTTTAATTGCCCTCAAATAATTTTAGAAACTTGAAAAGAATCACGTACGAAAAAATTCAATAGATAATTCAATAGGAATTCTTTGGGGTTTCTATAGCATTTCTATTGGAAATCTATTAAAAAATTCTATTCCTTTTTTTGCCCTGATCCTATTGGATATTCGATAAGAAAAAGTCAATAGATTTCGAATTTCTGTTTGAATTTTTCTCTTGAGATTTATCTTTAAAAATGCTTAGGCATCAATTTTCCAAGTTCACCGACGTCGGTGGCCGAAGCGGCTAGGTGCGAGCCTAGTGTGCGAAAGGTTGTGAGTTCGATTCCCCGTGGAACCGAGTTTTTCAACCAGAGGCTCCGGCGAGCGGGAGGTCGCTAATATAGTGACTGCCTGTACCGGCATAGGTTTTCTGTGGTTTCCCGTGCTACTCCTATGTTCTATAGGAGTGCGAATGCGGTGCAGTGTAGAATCCACAGCCGCATGCATAGGGTTGGATAGGGCCGATTAGCCAATCAGAGGGCAGAAAGGGCCGGAATATAAAAAAAAAAAAAAAAAATCCAAGTTTTTTTGCAATCCGTATAGAAAATTTGTAAACGATTTTTTCATACGTGTACTGTTGGCGCATTAGATAATTAATCTGTTGAATATTTCATGTATCTTCCTTATAATAGAACGTTTGGAAATAAATTTTGAATCCTGGATTATTGGGGAGAAGATGTGGAATGACCTGCTTTTCATTTGTGAAATTTTTTCATTTGTAGATTGGCAGAGTGAACGGAAACAAATAGGATAGTCCTGCCAGTTCTTATTTCGAGTTTACGAATAAGAACAAGTTCAACTGAATCGGATGTTGTGATAAGCAGATATTGAAAACTTAAAGCGGTTCGTTCTGCCCCGCTTCCTCTTATTCATTGAACTTTATTCATTGTGATTTTAATTACTTCTTTGCCTCTGAAATCACTGATTTCGAATTTATGAAATCATTCGAAGTCAATTGCAGTCACGAAATTATGTCGCGATCCGCTTGAGGTCGACTTCATCTTGCATTGAATATTCTATAAATAAAATGAAAATTGTGCTGATTATTTCACCTATCAATCGGATTACTCGTGTATAATCATATGATCAATTATTTTTTCTATTGATCGACACTTGATAAATAAAAAAATAGAGCCCAGTCGTCCAGAAATTAGGGGTTTCGGCTGCATTCAACTATTTCTTAATTTAATTATTCTTTGTTTTGTTATTTTCACTTCAAATAATTTTGTTCTGCTAATTAAAACATTCATATCCCCATTTAGGCGATTCTTTTATTTTAGATCTTAGCACGAAAATCTAATTTCCCTTAATCGTCCAGCAATTGGCCTATTTTACTGGAGAAAAAGTAGCGCAAGTACCTGGATATCCTTAATTTCAGGAATCGTTCTAAAAAATCAATGTCAACACACTTGGACACTGTTTTCTTCCCTGAAAGAAAATGAGATGGAAGGGTAGTCCAACCGAAGGTTTATCGATGAAAAATTGAGTGGACCGTACTTGAGCTGCGACGAAAAAAATTCCAATCGTGATTTGTCACTCTCTCATCAAACCTAATATTCCGGTTCTTCTCGGACTTGAAAAATTTATGCTCAAGACTTTTTACAAAGAAAATTGCAGCAAAATAAATGTTTACAAAAAATAAAAATCTACTTTTTTTTTTTTTTTCAATTCTTCAAATTCTTTTTTTGTTTCAATTCCAACAACCTAAAGTCACGGAGATTCTCACTAATAATCAAGAACAACATGAAAATTTGAGAAATATTTATTCAGTTTTTAGACGCTAGTGATGTATTTATTCATAGAAATAACACAACTCGCACTGATGCTCTTAAAAAAACCTCAAATCCACATTAAAAAAATTTTGTATCACAAGCTTAAAAATGAGAAACTTCTAATCAATTCTCCACTACTTCCTCAACGAATTCATTCTACCGATGGTGAATAACATACGGATATATTGATCATCGGTAAGAGCGGAAATCCGTGACCCCGAAATTCCCTAGTTTATCCTCTCCAATTGAAAATTTTGAATCCCCAATCTTCACTTCTTCCCGCCTTTCTTCTTCTTCTTCGCTGTCGGACTTCCACTAGACTTGAAGGCATCAAGGATCTCCTGTTGCACTACCTGAGTCTCCAAATCTTTCCTCTCCGCCTTCTTCTGGTACTTGTGTATCGCAGCAGGTGGAGAGAACTCGAATTCCAGGTCGTCTCCGATAGAACTGGCATCGCCTTCATCGTCGTCCGCATTCCTGTTTTTCGTGACCTTGAACTGCAGAGGCTTCACATCCTCCAGTGCCTCGGGATTGTTCGAGCCCTCGGGCTTCACTGGGTACATCGTGACGTAATAATCCCCATTTTTCCTGTGGATGTGGAGAGTCGGAGGGAGTTCCCGCTCATCGTCCCTCTCTCGCCTCTTCCTCTGGCTCCTGGCAACAGACAAAAGACTCTTGGACTTTGACATTTTCCCCTTTCTCCCTTTTATCGGAGTCACGGGTCTCTCATCGACGGAGTCAGTGTCCTTCCCCAGCTTCGCCTGCTCCAGAATGCTCCAGACTCGCCTGGAGATCGCGCCTGGCTTCCATCCGACTTGGGGTCTGAGGCTACCAGGCGTGTTACTGGTGTTCCACAGCCAACCCATGTTCCCGGGAACTCTGGCTCTGATCTCCACGCAACTTCTATGACCGAAGCAGCTGCGCTGACTGACACCCTCCACCAGCCTCATTACTCTTTTCCCCACCTTGGAGGAAATTATTTTCGTTATCAGCGAGAGCACGTCTAACCCTAGATTGGTCACCCTATGAGAGAAACCCCGGTGCGCGTCGTTTTTCTTTAAACTTTCGGGTATAGAGTGGAGGTAAACATCAAAAGTGCCAAGTTGCCGGTGATGAAATCATTAGTTTACCGAAGAATACACACATTAGTCATACTGTTGAACATTTTTCAATATAATTGTAAAATCTACATTCATTATTAAAAAGCGAATAATCAATGTAAAATTCATAATAATTTTGTTAAAATTTCGACAGTAAAATTTAAAGTTCCATTAAAATTGTAAACTTTTCCATCTGAAAACGTCTCAACAACTAAATTTTTTTTTTTTCTTCTCGTATACCCTTTCGGGTCTTTACGATTTGTTCCCTTCCCCCCCTCAACCCCCTGTACCGCATTCACCAAAGGGCGGGAAAACCTCATTCGAGGGAAAAACCTGCCCTGGTACAGTCGTTCTTTTGACGGGACTACCGCTCGGCAGTGAAACTGTGAGATTAGAGCGCTATAAATTTTGACCGCCAGTGCCGGGAAGTGAACCCGGATCATTGACATACGAGTCTAGCACTCTAACCGCACGGCCACTACCGTCGGTCTCAACAACTAAATATTAAATCTGTTAAAATTTTAAAACTGAGTAAATAAATATAATAAATCAAGTTAATCTATCGATTCTAACCAAAAACTTGAATTAATTTTTACGCCTGAAAAGGACTGCATAGCATCGTCCTTATAATAGAAGCTATAAGAGATGAAAGAGAATCCTTCAGATTATTCTTTTATTGATAATTCTTGAATTATGTTTCGAGAGTATTAAAATTAAAATATAAAAAGTTGTCCTCCGACATTGACAACATCTCCGGATATAACAGGCAATTAGTCCTGGCACTCACACAACATAACCAGTTCAAGACCAAAAAGTATTTGGACCTGAACTGCTTTGTTCCCGACAAATCGCAAAAATCATTCAAAGACAATTAAGTCCACTAACCGAAAAACCGAAATGAAAATCCCACCTTAACATGGCTGTAATTCCTCTCATAATTCTTCAAGTTCTTCGCCTTCTTCAAATTGAGTTTCATATTCTTCCGTTTCGTCGACAACAAAGAAGCTTTCTTCATCTTAATGGTCTTGAGAATCTCCTTCGACGACACATCCAAATCAGTTTTATTGATTTTCCTCCGGGAGTTGCAAACGGGTTCGCCGCAAGGTCCCATTTGTGGTTCTTTAATAGTCATGAGTTCTTCCCCGATATTCGTCTCATAATCCTCGCCTTTCAGTTTCTTAGAAGCTGCGGCATTAAGTTTGCCTCCGTCCGAAGCTCTTGACGGTAATGTCCGCGGCGGCCGAAGGATAGAGCTGTCTTTTTTCGCCATCGACAGACCCAAAAGACTCTTCATTGGTTTTTTGCTTTCTTGTTCTCTTGGTCTTGGCAACGGTCTGTACCGGGGCCTTCCGAAGAAGGGACTCTCCGTAGGATCCATGAGTCCTAGTCCCGCCATCCCTGGGACCCTCCCAATGCCGTCCACGAATTTTTCAGCTTCCTTGAAGGATTTTATCAGACAATCGATCCCGTAACATTTCTTCTTTATTTTGGACTGATTCCCCAGCTTTGTGTGGCATCCACAGCCCAGACGAGGCTCTTCTTCAGGGAGGAATGACCTGCAGACGCCTGACAGAAGTGTCTGCATGGACTGAATGGGAATCGTCGCTGATCTATCATCATTTCCCCCTCTCAATCTTTTATTTCTGATCTCTTGAAGTTTATAATGACTTTTCCATCGATTTCTTCGGGGAATGTCTTCAGTTGATGGAAAAGGACCACTGCAGATACCTCCAGGACATGAGCTTCCTCCACATGGGAATTTTCTTGGGGATACATACTTAGTGTCATCGAAACTTGATTCTTTAAGGATCACCGAATCATCAATGAATTCTTGCTTTTCGACTTCTGGAGGTTCTGGGGGGATTGGCTCTTCTTCCAGGGTCAGTGGAGGTATCTCAGGAGATATTGGACGAGGAGAACGTTTAATGAGATCCTCGCATACCGCGGAGATCCCGATGATCGTCTTTGGCTCGGGTTTCTTATCTAAATCGACAGCTCTCGATTTTGGGGTCGAGAACTTATTTTTTATTCCTTCGTCACTCGGTGGAAGTTGAGTAGACGACAATTGTCCGACGGAATTCATGTTCTTGGAGACAACATCTAGGGGAACGGTCTGCATGAATTGAATGGAAATCGTCGCTGATCTATCATCATTTCCCCCTCTCAATCTCTTATTTCTCATCTCTTGAGGTTTATAATCACTTTTCCATCGATTTCTTCGGGGAATGTCTTCGGTTGATGGAAAGGGACCACTGCAGATACCTCCAGGACATGAGCTTCCTCCACATGGGAATTTTCTTGGGGATAAATACTTAGTGTCATCGAAACTTGATTCTTTAAGGATCACCGAATCATCAATTAATTCTTCCTTTTCGACTTCGGGAGGTCCTGGGGGGTTTGGCTCTTCTTCCAGGGTCAGTGGAGGTATCTCAGGAGATATTGGACGAGGAGAACGTTTAATGAGATCCTCGCAAACCGCGGAGATCCCGATGATTGTCTTTGGCTCGGGTTTCTTATCTAAATCGACAGCTCTCGATTTTGGGGTCGAGAACTTATTTTTTATTTCTTCGTCACTCGGTGGAAGTTGAGTAGACGACAATTGTCCGACGGAATTCATGTTCTTGGAGACAACATCTAGGGCAACGGTCTGCATGGATTGAATGGAAATCGTCGCTGATCTATCATCATTTCCCCCTCTCAATCTCTTATTTCTCATCTCTTGAGGTTTATAATCACTTTTCCATCGATTTCTTCGGGGAATGTCTTCGGTTGATGGAAAGGGACCACTGCAGATACCTCCAGGACATGAGCTTCCTCCACATGGGAATTTTCTTGGGGATAAATACTTAGTGTCATCGAAACTTGATTCTTTAAGGATCACCGAATCATCAATTAATTCTTCCTTTTCGACTTCGGGAGGTCCTGGGGGGTTTGGCTCTTCTTCCAGGGTCAGTGGAGGTATCTCAGGAGATATTGGACGAGGAGAACGTTTAATGAGATCCTCGCAAACCGCGGAGATCCCGATGATTGTCTTTGGCTCGGGTTTCTTATCTAAATCGACAGCTCTCGATTTTGGGGTCCAGAATTTATTTTTTGTTGCTTCGTCAGTCGGTGGAAGTTTAATGCACGAAAATTTATCGAGTGAGTTCGTATTCTTGAAGAGGAAGGCTTTCTCGTTTACGTGAAAGTGGGTGACGATGGACTCACCGAGGCAGGAGAGTCTCAAGAAAATTTCGATGCTCCCAGACGCTTTTCCATCTTCGTCTATCAGATTGTAACTGTCTTGGACGGTGTAAGGGGCTGGTAAATGAAGAGGGTCTTTCATCGCTCTTTCTATGTCACAGAAGCATCCAGAAAGGTTCAACTGAGCCTTACAAACCGGGTATTCTGGCTCTTGGAGACAAGGATCGGAGTTTGATCTGCAGATCTCGATGGTCAAGGGATCGGTTTGCAATTTTTTTATGAGATCTTTTGGCTTTTTGGAGAAGACGCAGGATTTCCCTGAGGCGAAGTCGATGGTGCTCTCTTTGGTCAGGGGACTTCTGGAAAAGTCTTCTTGATTTATCGTGAATTCATCGAAGTCGAGAAGTTTAAAACGCACTGATAAAGGTCCGGAGATCTTCCCGAGAATTTCGGGAGATAAATTTAATCGGTTCACTAGGAACTCCAACATGTAGAGCTGCTCTCTGTCACTACTTTTTTGCGTCACCATTTTGGCAATTTTAGTTGGTAGATTTAAATGGGAGAGGAGAAAAAATTAATTGAGTTGTGAATTTTAGTTGATTTCGGGTCATTCTAACGCTTTTAGAGGTAATTTTGACAGACTGGTGTGAAGGCTGTTACTTAGGAACTGTTCGCTTTGCACTGTTCGATTTTCTCTATTCTAGAATTTAGTTCTATTTGTACATCATCCTTCTATTAACAGTATAAAATCAGTCTTCCTCCGATCCTCGTAAGAGAATGTTCGTCACATTTAAATACATGATTTGTTTCAGTCTCTTCGGGCCGGAGTATTGAATTAACTAATTAACTATTGAGTTCTATCAGTCGGTGACAGGAAATTTATAATCATAAGTTATTGACGAGAAATAAATTCTGGATGACATTCATTCTTTGTGCAGTATTCACTTTAAATTCATGGTGTGAGTGTATTAAAAATGTCAGGTGGGCGTTCGTTTGTCATGTTTAGAGGCTCTAGGACGTAATTTCTCGACCCGCTCTTTCATTTGAGCCCAAAAAAACATTCATATCTTGTGTGACATCGCTGCTACAAACTCGGGTCTACAACTCGGGCCTTCAATTGAAAGCCCGAGTTGAAGACCCGAGTTTGTAGCAAAGATGTCAGATAAGATTGAACAACAGTGTTAATTCATTCATTTACCCCCGCTTCCGATTGATCATTGAAACGCGATCATCAGAAATTGATATGTGGATGCGGATGAGTATTTTTTTCGTTTTCAAGTAACGGTGTAGAGTTGTACAGATCGATCATTCGCTCGTTTCACCCTCATTTCATTGAATTTTGACTTCTATGTAGGATTATCTTCTTTGAATTACTCCTTCAATTGTTGCATCCATGACGAAAGCATCAAAATGATGTGAAAATGGGTGCGTACGCGACACGGAAGAGGTTCGAGCGGACTGCGCGCGCCGCGCATCCTCCCGCGTTCACCTGGTGGACCATATTTCGGCAACGGATTGATGGATTTTGATTTAAAAAATTGATCATTATTTATTACACAAAAAGGAACAACTTTTGTCATGAATATTTTCTTCTATTTGCCAATGTTTCCCATTAAAAAAAAAATCATCAAAAAAACCACTTAATTTGTTTATAACTATTAATTGTACGCACTTACATAAAAAATACCACCGGATTCGGATTTCTCATACCCGAAAATATAAGAAAACACCTCAAAACCTTACCGCACTAGAAGTGCACACGGGAAGGGGGTATTCCGTGTGGACTATACGTGGCGACCACATGGCGGGCGACGACGAATACTATGAACAAAACATAGAACAGAGGACAAAGAGAAAATGCGTTCCAAGTGGTCCAATGTACTGGTCCTTATTTTTCTGAAGTTAGTCTCCGACAGTCGGAGTTAGAGTAAAGATCTAGCTGCGTCTTCTACGTGCGACTCAGTGAAGAGTCACAGTCAAATTAAATTCACAGAATGATTAATTCAATCTTACCCATAAATTCATTATGAATATTTATTAGAAATACATTTACAGGAATAAACTTCACATTTACAGAACTTTTAATATTTATTTTGATCCTGTTGATTGAGCATCTCCAGTTCCTCCAGGAAATATCTGCATTTTCCTTTTAGGGTTTTCACAGCGTCGAGGAATAGCTGGTGGGGAGGTTGAGCTCCCAGTGTCTCCACGTTAACTGAAAAAATAAAATTCATTTTTTGGTCTCAATTCAAAACCGGTTTTGGTGCCTTAAAATAAAGGCAGATTTTCAAATTCTCTTGTTTGATTCAAAGTCAAAACATGAGAATTTACAGTCGAAAATTTACTTGTTAAAATTCTCGATGTGTTCACTTACATATAAAATGATCTGGAACTCTGCTGAGTTGAACAGCATCTTTGAGACTATCATGGCGAAAGACATTCCTCGAACAGCTGTCGTATCGTGCATTTTTCACTCGAGCCTCGATCTCCCCCTTTCGGTTTTCCACCAGTTCAATTACACCAGGACTGAAACATGTTTTTAATAGCTCTGCCTGGTCTCCTTTTATCGGTTTCGTTAGTTGAATGTCAGGCAGCAATCGATACGTTGCAGTGGCTGGAACAATAAAATCCAAAAATTAATTTGTTGCTTCCGAATCCTTGTATTTGACTGATTTTTTGATTTTATAATTTTAGTTGCAAATAGTCTAGAATATTATGAAAGTTGAAGAAATGATGTTTTTAGGGTCATGTCTGTGCGTATGTATCCGACAACAGGGTTTTTAGTGATTAATTTTAGCAAATTCAACATAAATAAGGTAAAATTTGTAGATAAAAATCTGAAATTTTGGCTCATTATAGCTATTATTGAGCTCAACTTTGGCGCGCTGTTTTACCCCAATCGGTCCAGTAGTTCCTGAGATATAACAACATGTTTAAATTTCGTTTTTCCTCAATATCTCAAAAACTACTGCACCGATTTCAAATTTTTCTTTCAAAATAATCGGCTCGATGACCTCTATGTAAGTCAATCAGAATATATAGACTCTTTGGTACGCAGTTTGGAGATATTGCCGTTTTCCGTTTTTCATGAAAAATCTTGCACGCACGATAACTTGAGAAAAAAGGAGATAGCAAGTTTAAATTTGGTATGGTTCTAGCTCTTATAATACTGAAGATTGGTATTTTGGATAGGCTTATCGGTGAGTTTATAAACGGACCGATGAACCAACGAAATTATCATTTATTGAATAAAAAGTACGGTCGAACAATCATGGAAAGATGAAAGGATAAGTTTCAATTCAACGAAATTTCTTTCCGTTTCATCAATGAAACTGCACAAAGAAATGAAAAAAGAAAATACTTTAGGGCCAGAAATCATTGATGATTTTTAAAGCATTGTTTTTGGAAAAATAATTTTGTAAAATTATTTTTCTAAATAATTTCCGTCAATTACTCATCCAACTCAATCCAACTATAAGTTGAATTCAACTGGATATTTTTTTACCACTCACCAACAGGCGAAAATTTAGCGTGATCCTTGCCAATACCCTTTACTGCATGCATTATGCAGTGGATCTCATGCCCAGGTCGCATTTTACAAATCAAAATGTCCTTTTCAAGAAGGCCTAGCTGTTCTTCGCCCTTCGGGTAGAGTTCTGCTTGCCTGCCAATTGGCACCCACTTAATATCTCGACTGTAAACTGCAGAAACATAAATTATCAAGTTCAAGTGTTTTCAGAAAAATGTGATTCACACTGATTTTGAAAATATCTGCAGAATTAGTGGAAATATTAAGGGATATTTTTTTAAATATTTTCTCATGAAATCACTCATTTTCGAGACGAATGTAGATGAAGTCGATTCCATTTTTGAAATGTTATTATTTTCTTTATTTGGAAAATCAGCGCCTTTGGAAAAAAAGTCCCCTTCACATAAAACGTCTATTCCCCTCACCATTACTATTTCGATAAATATCCTCAGGTCTCTTGGAATCCTTAGGAGGATGAGGATTCCAGGTGCAGGTGACTTTCATCTCGTATCTGAGTGTGTCCTGATCACTGGCCTCTTCCTCAGTGTTTCCAGAGGTCGTGGGGTATTCAAAATACTTGGGATCTGCCTTCAGGGGGATCAACCCCAGTCTGCAACCGTGAAATAACCGTCAAAATATATATTTCCCTTGACTTTCATTCTCCATAGTTATATAAAAACGGGTATTACCTGTGTGCGAGGACCTCATCCTGAATTAAACTGGTGTTATTAAGTATGAAAACCTTTTCAATAGCCATCGAAGGAACTTCACTGAGGAGAATTCGACGAAATGCATTGGCCAGTGCTGCTGAACATCCGGCTATGTCAAACTCGAGTTCTCGTCCATCGTCTGACTGTTTCACGACATTCACTTTGATTTTCTGCATAAAAATTAATGGAGATTTATTATCCAGTCAAATTTCTCTTAATATTAAAGGAGAATATAACTTAAATTTTCAAGATAACAATCTGAAATCAATTCTAAACGGCAGTCAATTTCAATAAACAAACGGACAATTGCATTTTTTTCATAAATTAGTACTGGAGGCTACGCCCCTGTTGACTCCACTCGCCAACCCGCATGATCCGCATCATATTCTTGGCCGTTGCAACCCTTAATCTGACCCTCGTGACCCTCATTCCAACCCTCATTATACCTCGTGACCCTTATTTTGAACGTTCGTTTCTGACCCTTAATTTTATAAATTTCCCGAAAAATGTGTTTTGTCCAAGCCATTTTGTTCGTGATTAAGATTGTCAGAGGTAACATTGACTGTCCTCAATTTCTTAGTCTGTTGCCACTCAGGGTACCACCGTTTAACTCAAGATTAAATGATTTTTTTTATCTACCAGAATCGAGAGACAGTGTTGTTTCGACTCTGCGGTATGTGTGCGATGCTGTGAATAAGTTTATTGATTTCTGTGATGACTCCATTGATATTCTAACGACCCCTCTATCCTCAATTGCAATTAAAGCGCATAGCTTCGTCAAATCCCTCAGAGAAACGTAAAAAAGAAGCGTAAAATAGTGTTTATATGCCATTTATTTTGATCTATCACAATTTTCCTCAACTGGTATTGTTTGTAAATATGTGTATATTTGTTTCTATGTGATTTTAATGTTAAATGATTTGACCCTGTAATTGGCCTAAGCTGTTGGGTCTCTAATAAATAAATAAAAAATAACAAATAACAAAACAGATTATCAATCAGTTGATCATTACTTAACGAACTCTTCATCCTTTCTATTGTTCTTGTGAATTTCAGCATAAATACAACCTAAGGTGGACATCGACATTCCAGAAGACAAGATCGACAAAATGTTATTTTTATGATTCTCCAGTATTCTCTAACAATTCTAATTTTTGACTCACCTTCATGTATTTATTAATGTTCCATTCTCCCTCCATTTGGAGGTTAGTAAACTCTGCAGCCTACAAATCATTATTAAAGTTACATTAAACGAGGGGCAATTATTTGTGTACCTGATTTAACTGGAAAAATAAATAACTCACGTTTGGAATTCCATATTCGTTCAATATTACTCGTGGATTTGTCATTTTCCGAAGCTTTTTGTATTAATAGGTTAACGTTTTGTTGATGTTCTCCACGCGCTGCAGGCTGCACACAATATGCCGAGTTTGTCCGAGTATGATACGAAGATGGCCGAAGGGTTGACACGTGGAGATGCCCGGAAATTTAGAAATCTCACAATCTTAGAGCTGCGGGACACCCTCGATTTTCAGACATATACCGACCACTTGCGTTCTAATGCGTAATTCTTGTTTTAAACAATAAAATATGATCACTGAACGTTAAGTAAATAATTTTCAATTAATTTTCGGCGTTGGAATTATTTATTATTAACAATTAAATTGTTTAAATCACCCTAGCACCCAAACTATGAGGAATAGACGAAAATTTTCAAATCATGAATCATCTGAAATTTAATAAAGTATAATTTTTGTCTATTATCAATTTTACGTATCTTTCGTACATTCCGAGATGTGAGCAATAAACTAGTTACGCGACCCGACATAGCTCTGCTTGCGGCGTGCGGTGGGCTTGAAGGCGCTGTGTTGGGTCACGCAACTCTTTCCTTCTTCATATCGTGAGATCTAAAGGAGATCTGTGAAATTGACAAAAGACAAAAATTATTCCTTATCAAATTCTAAATGATTTCTGATGCGAAAATTTTCGTATATCTTTCGTAGTTTAAGCGCTACGGCCATTTGAACAATTAAATTCAGTAGTGAAGCGGTAAACCGGGTTAAGTCGATTTTGACTATTGGCCAGTTTTTGACGAATATCTCGGAATCTAAAAGAGATAGAAATTTTGTTGTCATGACCTTTTTTGTAGAGCCAATTGAGGGTTACAGAAAAGGTCATGGGAAAATTCTGCCATCTCTCTTAGATTTCGAGATATTCATCAAAAACTGACCCAAAGTCAAAATCGACTTAACCCGGTTTACCGCTTCGCTACTGAATTGTTGGTAATAAATAGTTGCAATGCCTAAAATTGATTGAAAATTGTTTACTTGATGTTTCCCGATCATATTTCATTGTTTAAGTGAAGCATTGCGTATTAGAAGCGCTTTTCTGGGGGGTCCCGCAGCTCTATTATCGTCAAGTGGGACTCATGAAAGTTCTGATGCTCAACAGCAAAAATAAAAAAGCATTTCACTGGAGAAAAAACCGGAATTCTTGGATATCCTTAATGCAAAACCTCAATTTCTTTTTGGTTTTGTCAATTCCCAGATCATCGCCTTCATAAATCGAAAAATTCCGATTTATATCTTATTCATTTTGATGAAATTATATTGCTTTTCCATATTCCGTTCGTTTTCTTATCTCAGAACAGAAAAAATGTCTGGTTTGTTTTGGTTGCCGAATGCCCGAACGATTCAGTGCCTAAACGCTGTTCATGGCATTCGCACTAAGGAGACCACACAACCATCTCGAGACAATAACACTCACCTCAGTTTCTGAGGGGATAAAAGTAGGAAGGGAATTAAATCATCGAGAAAGGTGAGGAATTTATACATTTCGGTGGTCAGTGGCTTCTGGGCGTCGGTAACGCGTCGGTTACTCTGGAACATTTCCCGTGGGGAGACAATTCGCGAGTCACTTATTTCCGTAAATTAATCTATTCAAATCCCATCATTTAAAAAATCTTAGTATTCAATCGTAAATCAGGAATAAAAATGATTTGACGGAGATGAAAATTGTTGACAAAAATTTTGCAAGTGGAAATAATTGAAATAAGGACAGTTTAAAATCGTTAACGTCTTCACAACTGATACCTTCAGCAGAATAAAATCGTACGCCATTTGTAGCTCGAGGAGTGGAACTCTTGGATGGTGAGAAAAATTTCCGATTATCATTAACAGATTCATAGATTTTTATGATCAAAAATATTTCATTAGTGAAATAATTTGATTCTGTCGTGGGTGATAACGCTACTTGCACACGAAGTCATCGAGAGTGAATGCAACATCTCAGACTTTATGTGCGAGTCGTGTTGTTGTCCCTATTCATTTATTGGAAATAAAAATAGTAAAATGGATGGAAATAACGGAATAATTCAGTTATTAGTATGGGAATAATTTTGTCATCTATACATACACCTAAAACACGGGGGATGATTGGAAAAAAACAACTAGAAGGATTTTTTTGCAGTTGACAAATTTTCAACAGAAAATTTTTCTTGGCATCTTATCTTGGAATAATTTAAAAAATAATTTATCGGATTCAACTCTTATGGCCCATACAATTATCTCAATGATGAGTGATTGCAATAATTTTTCTCAGTTACACAAATTCCTTCCGAATTTTTTCTTCTCGTGCAATTACAATAACGGGGCCATCTCGAGACAATAATACTCGTTTCAGCTAGTTTCCGAGGGATTCGCAGCAGACAGGGCATCAAATCAGCGAGGAAAACTAGAAATTTATACATTTCGGTGGTCAGTGCCTTCGCAGCGTCGGTAGCGCGTCGATTATTCTGGAACATTTCCCGCGTGAAAAAAATTTGCGAGTTACACATTTCTTTTATTCATCTATTCAATTCCCATCTTTAAAAAAATTCTTAGCATTCATTTGTAAGTCAGGAATAAAAATAATTTGATGGAGATGAGAATTGTTGAGTGCAACTGGAAATTATAAAATAAGGACAGTTTAAAATCGTTAACGTCTCCACAACTGATGCGTTTAGCAGAATAAAATCATACGCCATTTGTAAGTCGAGAAATGGAACTCTTCGATGGTGAGAAGAATTTCCGATTATCATTAACAGATCCATGGATTTTTATGATTAAAAATTTTTCAATATTCGCAAATAATTAGATTCTGTCATGGGTAATAAGGCTACCTGCACACGAAGTCTTTGGGAGTCAATGTAACATCTCAGACTTTATGTGCGAGTCGTGTTGTTGTCCCTATTCATCTATTGGAAATAAAAATAGTAAAATGACTAGAAATAACGAAATAATTCAGTTATTAGTGTGGAAATAATTTTGTAATCTATACATATACCTGAAACACGAGTGATTATTGCAGAAAAAATCTAGAAAGAGTTTGTAGTTGACGAACTTTTAACGGAAAATTTTCCTGACATTTCATCTTCGAATGATTTAAAAAATAATTTGTCGGACTCAACTCTTGTGACCCATACAGTTATCTCAATAATGAGTGATTGTAAAATTTTTTCTCAGTTACACAATTTTTTTCGGAATTTTGTCTTCTCGTGCAATTACAACGGGGCCAGCTCAAGCCAATAATATTCGTTTCAGTTAGTTTCCGAGGGGTTCGTAGCAGTTAGGGAATCAAATCAGCGAGGAAAACTAGAAATTTATACATTTCGGTGGCCAGTGCCTTCATAGCGTCGGCAGCACTTATTTCCCGCGCCTGAAAATCGCCGTTAGATATTTCGTCCAGTCCGAGCATCAATTCCCAATTACAAAATAATTTTTAACGGATAATTGTAAGAGAGGGATGAAAATAGTTGAGTCATAGACTACATACTTTTTTTTTAGTTCAAAAAATCAATTAATTACATAAAATTACAGGAACTTGGAATTATTTATCTAAATAAAAAAAAATGTGTTCACTATTTTCCATCCAGCATTCATAAAAAATCACGCAGAATCCGAATTTAAAATCCTTATCATCTCTACAAAATATAATAAAGTTAAAATTATAAATTTATGCTTTAAAAAAAGGCAACTCCGCATTTTGATTTTTCCAATAACATCTGATTTTCTTTCAAAATGATTTTAACACCTGTTTTTTAAAATCATGTTTCCAATTAATGCTTTTGTATTCCTGATTTTCATTTGCAAATGTCGCAATTTTCAGGACTCGAAAATATTCAGTATTCGAAAACTAATTTATATTATTTCAGTGATGGATAATAGCATTACCTGAATACGGAGACATGAGGGTGTGATTTCATCATCTCAGTCTTCCTATTACAGGTATTGTTGTTGTCCCCATTCATCCATTGAAAGTTGAAGCAATCAAATAAGACGGAAATAATTCAGTGAAATGAGCTATTTGTGAGGGGTAGCTGTGTCCCATGAAGACGCAGGCTTCGAGAGAGTTTTCAATATCTCAGTCTGCGCATTCAAGGAATATCGTTACTTTCATCATTCGTCGGACACCAATAATGCCTGAATAGATAGATTCTGAATGCTAAGCAATTGAAAATTTAATTGACTTGACAATGGGAGGATCAAAATAATTTAATTATCCCGCAGTTTTTTATTTTTTTCGTCGAACAGGCGATTACATTACATGAACAAAAAGGCTTTGAGAATGTACTTGATATCTCAGTCTCGTTGTTGATGTCATGTTATCGCTTTCATTCATCGATTCGGAATAAACATCATCGGTTGGGAGGAGAGGAGATGAGGGACAACGTTACATGAACGCAAAAACTTGGAGATATTCAGCGTCTAAGTTTTTTCATTCATGTAATGTCATTCCTCATTCATCTATTCGTGTAATGACACATTGATGATAATAAGTATAGAGAGGGAAAGGTAATTTCCATTAATTTAGTAGTTAAAGTTTAATTGTGCAGGTCCTTGAGGTAAACTGAAATTTTCACGATAATTTATTATTTGATTTATTTGAATGCTGGCCTTGATTTCTCCTTTTAAACCGTCGGAGAACATTTCAAAATGTGAAACAAATTTGGAAGTCTACATTTCGAGGAATTTTTTTTAGATATTTGAAGAATTGTTATTTTTTAATGTTGAAACCTAATTTATAAATAAGGTGGAAAAAAAATTTTTAAATCTAGATTACTTTTTCAAATTCATAATTTAATTATTTACATTCAAAGCTAGCTCACTCCGCTCGCCTACCCCCATATAATCCACATGACCCGTTATTCTGACCCCTGTGATCCTTAAACTGACCTTCGTGACCCTTATTCTGAACCTTATGACCCTTAATTGTGGAGTCTTAATTTCAAGAACCAAAAATTTCTATCACCAGAAATCGATTTAGATTTTTACAATATAGAGCGATATTTTCAAGAACGAATTTGGGAACCGTTCCAGAAACAGGATAGAAAAATCCCGACAGAAAAATCCAGACGAAATTCAGGACAGAAAAATCCGGTTTCTGGAAATTGAAAAAAAAAGATTCAATTCCATCGATTCATTAGCGAGAAATTGAAGAAAAAGTTTGAAAAAATTTGTTACATACATAGACACATACGTACGGACGTCTAAAAATTGCATTTTCGGACTTTCTGGATCATAATAAGTCGATATAACACAAAAAATTGAAAACTTTTTTTTGAACGATTACAATGCTTCCATTCGGAAGCAAAAAAGAAAAAACACGTAATGAGACAATTGAGCCCTTAAAAAATGTCCCAAAAAATTACCGAAATAAAAATGACGGTCATTGCACATCTCTACTGGAAAAACAATTCGGTTTCATTTTTATTTTCTTTTAAATGAAATCAGTAGCGAAGTAGTAAAACTGTTCGAGTCAATTTGGTCTTTGGTTGAGTTTTCCAGAAACATTTTCGAATTTGAGGGAGATAGCAAAATTTTCATAATAACCTTTTTTGGAGAGCGAATTGAGTGCTATTAAAAAGGTTATGAGAAAAATTTTGCTGTCTTCCTTACATTTCGAGATATTCATTGAAAACTGGCCAACAGCCAAAATCGACTTAAACCGTTTGACCACTTTGCTACTGAAATATTGGAAAGGTCTTATCCAGTATTGTCTTACCGTAATGTGGGAGTATTATTGGATGGTGGAGTGGAAACGAAAAATAGATCCTCAGTACACAATAAATATACAAATAAAAACATGGAATATAATCAACTTTACTGGTATAAATTCCATTCAATCTAATAATTCACATTACTTATATCATAATTTTCAAAGAAAAAAGTCCTCTTCAGTTCTCTCTCGCTCAATAACTCCTTCCAAACAGAGTGTAGAACTTGGGTTTCTTCGAACATTTCGGATGAACACATTTCAGAGAATCCAGGGACACTTTAGGCTGATCGAAGGGGATACAGAGACTCTTTGCTCCCATTGACGGAGCACCAGGCTCTTCGTCATCACTCCTTGAAAAAAAAAAAAAAAAGTGGGAAATTGTTCTTGTGTTGCATATAGTATACTCATTTTTGACATCATTTCCTTCTATCATGTATAATTCATTGTTTATTTAATTTTATTGAATTGAATAGAATTTCTTTTCAACTAATTTTGTCAGATTTTCAACTCAGTTGAATGTTGTCCTCATTATTATCCTCATGATCTCTTTCTTCGATACAACCGACTGTCTTTTTTACAGTTCTACCTCTCCCCTCAGCCCTTCGATGAAATGTTAATAAAAAAATTTTATTTACACATACATGAATAAATTTGAAACGTCACATTTGAAGAAACCATCAGAAAGCTCACTTTCAGGGAAATTCATGAAAAATTCGAAATATTCAAGAATCGTCAAAAACTCAAATCAACCAATATAGCTATTGTATTCAATTTTTAAATTCGACTTAACAGCATTAAAAAACACATTTCAAGTTATGATTTAATTCATTTGAAGCATGATATGCAAATATATCCCCGGAATTCCGATTTTCAAAAAATACAAAATTTTTGAAAATTTTCAACTAAATCAAAATAACGATTATCGCTATCGCCTTCATCTGCGAACTCGGTCAAAAGGACATCCAAACCAACGTTTTAAGCCATCATTCAATCAATGTAGAACATTTTTTTTAGTTATCGTGGGGCAACCGATTTTCAAAAAAATTCCAAAATCAAAAAAAAATAGTCGATAAATTAAATTTTAATTAATGGCGATCGATTGGGCTCAACAATACCTACATTTGAAAAAAAAAGATTCTGCATCATTTCCAAGCAAAATTAGAAAATGTGAAAATCGAACGATTGCAATGCCTCTATTCGGAAGCAAAAATCAACCCATGCACTAAATAAGAATTTACATGTCATTCTTGAGTCAGTTTTTAGTGTCAAGTTACCTTGTGCTGTCAGCTTTAATCTGATCCTCACAGTTCATGTCTCCACAGAATGGTGAGAGCAACAGGTTCTTCTGATCCAGTAGTTTGCAAAACTCATTCCAATCATTTGTTTGTCTGAGGTGGCTTTGGAGCTCGGAAGTAGCCCTAGTAAATAAAATAAATCCATTAATGAATACATTCCTCAAGCATAATGCAAAACCTATGGAAGTATCTCTTTTTTTACAGAGAATTTCCTGAGCTGAGAAGTTCTTGTAGAATTTTTTCTTAAAATATTTCAGTTTCGGGGTATTTTCAGAATTGATTGACAATATATTTCGTTAAAATAATGACTAATAAATCATCTTTACACTGGTGAAGAAAAAAATTTTCGCATGTTAACGATTGATGAATAAATTAAACACATTTAGTGCTAGATATTTGAAAAGTGTCTGTCGATGAGGACTATTTGTCGCAAAGAAAGATATTCGCAAAAAAATTTATATATTGCATCAATAACTCGCAGCGGACATTCCATGATTAAACATTCAACACCTCAAGATTATGAGACTCATAATTAATTGAATTATCCATTAAATTGTATCACTGAAGTGTCCAAATGACAAAATTGCCACCTTGTGAATCCATCAAAAGTAATTTGCTGATTCAAACAATGCTTACTTGATGCATTTTGTGCCCTCAATGTTATAAACAATTCCCCTTACTCGAAGATTTCCATTCTTTATAAATTCTATAATTTGACTGTTTTTTATGTTTTAATAAAATTATGAAATACGAAGGTTTGTATTTTCTCTTTTTGAAAAATCATGAAAAATTAGAAATATATAAACATAATGTCCACGTTTCCAATCGCCTATTACTTCCCAATTCTTCACCCTTCATCGCAAAAAAAAAGATGTTGAATCACATCAAAAAAGTAATTCGTTAATTTAAACAATTCATACTTGTTGCATTTTTTCCGCTCAGTATAATAAACAATTTTTGGTACTCGAAGTATTCAATTGTTTGGAAATTGTGTAATTGTTACATTTTTTTGTTGAATGAAATCATGAAATCCAAAAATTTATATATTTTCATTTTGAAAAATCGTAAAAAATTAGAAAGTTAAAACCATTTATTCTACAACTTCTAAATTTTTCACAATTTCACATCCCAATAAAAAAATATGCATCCAATATTTCGAATTAAATTCTTTATATCAGCGGATCCACGCCAAATCAGCAGGACAACAAAGTCGATGCTGGGGATTTTCGTCTCAATTTTTTTCTGAAACAGCGGCGATTAGACAAAAAGTTTGAAAAAAGACAAATTGAAAAATATTGATAATTGTCAATTGAAACAAATTGATAATTCTCAATTATTTCTATTTTTCAATTATTCTTTTTTCAAAATTTTAGTCTAATCGCCATTTTTTCACAACAAAATTGAGAAGAAAATTCCCAACATTGACTTTGTTATCCTGCTGATATCTAACAATAAAAAAATCTTATTTAAAACGTCAATTAAGGGGAGACTACTCGCTCCATTCACCAACCCCCGTATGACCCCTATAATCCTTATCCTGAGCGTTGTAACCCTCAATCTGAGCCTTGTGACCCTTTCTATACCCTTCGTGGTCCTTATTTTGACCCTTAATTTTGGAGTTTTAATTTCGAGTACCAAACTTTCATTACCTGCAGTCGATTTTGATTTTTATAATATGAAGTGAATATAGAGACCCTTATTATGACCTTGTGACCCTTAGTTTCCAACCCCCGTGACCCTTATTTGAACCCTTAATCTGACCTTTGTGATCCTTAATCTGACCCTTATGACCCTCATTTCAATCCTTAATCTGACATTCATTATAATCCTTATGACCCTTAGTTTGAACCTGGTGACCCTTATTTAACCCTTTAATTTGGACCTTAAATCTGACCCTTGTGACCTTCAATCTTAGGGACCTAGTGACCCTTAATCTGACTCATATGACCCTTATGCCGACTCTCGTGACCCTTATTTTGACCATATTTCGACTTATTGCTACCCTTAATTTTGTGCTCTCACTTTCTAGTACCAAATTTTCATCACCAGAAGTCACATTCGATACAATCGATCTTTAAGGGGTAACGGAACCCGTCGCACGTAGAGGTTAGGGGTCCCCCCTATCGGTATTGCTGGTTCCCGTGGTTTTTTTGATTTTGTACGTGAAAAGTACAAGAGCCCATGAAATATAAATAAATAATAATGGTATGGAAACATTCTACATCATCTTCTGACTCGTAAAAGTACTTCCCTCTTACAATTGGTGCCCTGTAAAGGACATGTTACCTCCTGGATACCACCCAATCATCATAAACAAGTTTTTACGAAAATTACGCAACAAAAGTACGTTTTTGTACTCAAAATCTCTGTCTTGGACCTCACTCGATCGCTCTCTTCTCATGAAAATAGCCATCGGCTAAGAAAAATCTACAAAAAATCGGTTTTTCTACCATGACTTGGCAGATTCCTACAAATAAAATGGCGTCGGCCTTGCCCTGGTCCTTGCCGTTAAATAATTTGCAATTTTTTTTTGCATAAATAAGAAAAGTATGAGCAGAGATATGCGTTCCGCTACTTTCAATACGGGGAAAAAGTTTCATTGATTCTCATTGCATAGAATCCAAGAAAATTTGTTTTTGGTAAACGTCTTTTTGTGGTCGGTTCCGTTACCCCTTAATGCACGAGAAATCCCATTCCAATAGCCCGCGACTTAAAGCTCCTAGTAGTCTCCCCTCAATTCAATATCAAGAAACTCCAGCAAAAAAAATTAACAAAAATTCCCTCGACACTCACTTGGCAAGCATATTCCTGTGAATCTCCTCCAGCAACCCCTTGATTGCCTCCTTCGCCTGGTTCCTCTTGGCGGTGACCTTCTCCGAGGTGTCTCTCCTCACAAGTGTCACCTCCCCCCTCTCGAGGTCCTTGAAGCCCACCTCAATCCTCACCGGCACTCCCTTCAGCTCCCAATGATTGAACTTCCACCCCGGACTATAATTATCCCTATAATCCCCCCTGACCTTCAACTCCCCACCCTCCCCTAGCTCCTCCTCGAGCTTCCTGCACTCCTGCATGAGCCTCTCTCTCTCCTCTCCACTGGTCGTCGCAGTGATGCCACAGGGCACAATGACCCCCTGCACCTTCGCCACCCTGGGAGGCAGCACCAGCCCTTTGTCATCCCCATGGACCATGACCATCACCCCAATGGTCCTCGTGGTGAGTCCCCAAGAATTCTGATAAACAAAGGTCTTCTCGCTGCCCTCCTCCGCTCCCTCAACCAATATCTCAAACATCTTCGAGAAGTTCTGCCCCAGATGATGACTGGTTGCCCCCTGGATGGCCCTCCCACTAGCTGATATGTAAGCCTCAACAGTCGTGGTATAATCTCCACCCGCGAACTTCTCCTTCTCAGTCTTCCTCCCTCGAACAACAGGAATAGCAAGAAAGTCCTCATAAATCCTGGTATAAAGATCGAGGATTGTCAGCACCTCCTCGTCAGCCTCAGCCTTCGTGAGGAAAGCTGAATGCCCCTCCTGCCAGAGGAACTCACGTGTCCTCAGGAAGGGCTGGGGATGCTTGAACTCCCACCTGACGACGCTGTTCCACTGATTCAACTTCAGGGGAAGATCCCTGTGAGACTTGAGCCATTTTGCGTAGAATGGGTACATGACGGTCTCTGATGTTGGCCTGATGGCGATGGGCTCAGCGAGCTCAGAGTCTCCACTTTTCGTAACCCACGCCACCTCAGGAGCAAAATCAGCGATGTGGTTCTTCTCACGTTCCAGAGCTGCTTTCGATACGAACATGGGGAATGCACTGTTCTCCACCCCGAGCTTTTTTATTTCCCCATCGAAGAAGTCCCTGATTGCCTCCCAGATGGAGAAGCTCCAGGGACGGAGGATGTAGCACCCTGAGATGTCGGAGTACTCGATCATCTCGCCTTTTGTGATAACCTGGGAGAACCAGTCTGGAAGGTTCTCGAGTTTTTTAGCTTCAAGACCTAGTCGAGTTCCTGTCTTCGAGGGCTCCTTCTTATCCTCTTTAGGTTTGTCCTTCTTGGGCTTCTCTGAAGACTTCGGGGCCTTCTTGCTGGCGTCAACAGGTGGTTTCCAGTCATCTCCGGTTGCTGTCTTGTACTCGGCCTTCAGCTTGAGGAGACTCTTCACTTCCTCGTCGATCACCTCTTTCTCAGCTTTACTCGACTTTAACTGACGAACTTTATCCCCTTGCTCAGCAATTCGTCGAGATAACTCGTCAGCTTTATTTGAAGATTTTTTGTCATCCTGTTTCACTGGTTTTGAGTCTGGTGCCTTCCATTCTTGACCTGTCTGACTCTTGTATTCTGATTTGAGGGAGAGGAGAAGCTGAACTGCCTCGTCAACAGCTTTCTTCTCTGATTTTTCGGATTTAAGTTTTCTCACTTTGTCTCCTTGCTCCTGGATTCTCTTGCTGATTTCCTCAGCTGAATTTTGCGAAGATGATGGAGATGATGAGGACCATTCTTTACCAGTTGCTGACTTGAACTGAGACTTCAGGGACGAGAGCAACTTGATCTGCTCCTCGATTTTATCTGCCTGTTCTTTGATCTTCCTGGAAAGATCTTCAGAATCGTTTGAGGATTGGGGGGCCTCGTTGGGCTTCCACTCCTTTCCAGAAGCCTCTTTGTAGTCCTTCTTCATGGCTAGGAAGAGCTTCACCTCTTCGTCTAGTATTTTCTTGTCAATTTTAGCGTCTTTCAAAGTCCTTATTTTATCTCCTTGCTCTGTTACTTTGTTGTAGAGGGTCAGAAGGTCCTTTGAGGATGGGGCAGTATTGGATCGTACTGGGGCTCTCACCCCAAACTCCCAAGCCTTCCCAACAATTCGTTTATACTCAGCTTTGAAGGCCACTAGTTTCTCAACCTCAGGGTCAATTATAGTCTTATCGGTTGTGGCTGTTTTCAGGAAAATGATTCTATTTTCCTGAACTTCGATGCGCTTTATCAACCCTGCAAGATCCTTGGACGATGCTGGGGCAGATGATGACGCTGGGGCTGTCACCCCAGGCTTCCAATCACTCCCAGAAACTTGTTTATACTCAGCTTTGAGGGCCAGTAGTTTCTGAACTTCAGGGTCAATCGCACTCTTGTCTGATTTAGCTGTTTTTAGATCGCGGATTTTATTTCCTTGTGCTTCGATGCGCTTTATTATCTCTCCAAGGTCCTTGGAAGGCGCTGGGGCAGATGATGACGCTGGGGCTGTCACCCCAGGCTTCCAATCACTCCCAGAAACTTGTTTATACTCAGCTTTGAGGGCCAGTAGTTTCTGAACTTCAGGGTCAATCACACTCTTGTCTGATTTAGCTGTTTTCAGATCGCGGATTTTATTTCCTTGTGCTTCGATGCGCTTTATTATCTCTCCAAGGTCCTTGGAAGGCGCTGGGGCAGATGATGACGCTGGGGCTGTCACCCCAGGCTTCCAATCACTCCCAGAAACTTGTTTATACTCAGCTTTGAGGGCCAGTAGTTTCTGAACTTCAGGGTCAATCACACTCTTGTCTGATTTAGCTGTTTTCAGATCGCGGATTTTATTTCCTTGTGCTTCGATGCTCTGTATTATCTCCCCAAGGTCCTTCTAATAAAAATAATTTAATACTGATAATTTTTTGAGTTTTAACGCATATGGAGGGATAAAACAACGAGAAGTTCAACGTGGCCGGTGAATGGACAACGGTAACTGACATGGAAGTCACGACGCGAGAACAGGGAAAGTATTCAACCCCCCACCCGCGACCACGTGAGACTCCCACGTGAGGTGGGGATAAACGCGGAAGTTACATAGTTGCATGGAATGAGGCAAGGAATTGTATTGAGGGAATTGAGGAAATAAGCTACAAACATGGATAAAGGCAGAGAATATTTCAAAAAATACTATAAGCAGGGTTGGGTAGGTCACTGAAAATCGGAGTTTTCTACGGTACATAGTAGAATACCGGAATTTATCTCTAAATGGTAAAAAAAGGTACATAACTGGTAGAAAACCCCTTAAGGAGGATGGCCACGGTGAAATTTTGAAAAATTGCAGGCGGCTGTATCCTCGATACAGCTGTAATTGTACATGGATACGTCCATGGCCTTTCCTTCTTTCTCGAATTACCTAAAAACTCCTTGCATTCCTTCCAATTTTCTGGAAACTCCTTGAATTTTCTGGAAACTCCTTGAATTCTCTTGAATTTTGTAAAAACTCCTTAAATTCTCTTGAATTTTCTAGAAACTCCTTGAATTCCTTCGAATTTTCTAAAAACTCCCTGAATTTTTGCGAAATTTCAAGAAACTTCTCGAATTACCTCGAAATGTCTAGATTTTTCTAGAATTCCGATAGATGGCATTGCACATAAGGATCGTTTCTCAAAATGACCCACCATATTGGAACCGTAGACGTATCCACGTTAAAAATTCTATTTTTTTGCCTTTTTCGATGGTATATACTTTCAGACACATACTCATGAAATTTCATCAGAAAATTCGAAGAGTGGGCCGAGTTATGATCGTTTGTATTGGGGCAGGTGTAGCAGTCGTTGACGTCGTGCCCCTCGCGCTCAGGTGACAGTCTGTTATCCCTCTGTTTTTTTTCCCTTCAACAAAGGCCCTGACCATCAAATGTCTATACCATCAGTCGTATTGGAACATCCGCTGACAGGAGGTGAAAATCACTCCGTAAATGAACTTATACTTTTACAAATTATACTCTTATACGTAAACCGTCCGTCTAAGAAAGGCACACTGGGCCTGCTGCGGGCGGCTAGGTAGGAAAGCTATGAACGCGTTTTTCTCGAAATATGATTTTCCGTCCTCGTGGCAACGATAATTCGAAAACTACTTTTTCCAGTAAAATCATTCTTGTACGAGATGGTTCACCCTGAACATCGTTATCGTTCCACGGGCACTAAATTTTTTTTTCTGGCCGACTTTTTTTTTTGTTGTTTTATGAAGGCGCGCAGCAGGACTTATTGAATAATTGCTCTATTTCCGACAATTTTTTTCCGTTTTAAATGCGCCAGTGCAACAATAGATACACTCGTCTCATTCACAGAAATGACTTATAGTTTTGTTTCAGATGAACCAAATCTGTGATATCAATGGAACAAGCTGGGAAAAGGTCTCTCATTCAATAATTCATAACTTTGTCAAAAGTGAATATTTTGTCAATAAAAAATTATATCCTTATTGTTCAATCATCATTTAGTGTGTCGTTAATTGTTGAATCGTCATGTACTTCACTTTGCCAGTTAAAAAAAAAAGATAAATACAGAAATCTTCCTGCCGCGTCACCGTGGCCATCCCGCTTAAGGGGTAACAGAAGGCCACCTTTTCCTCGAAATTTTCAAAGAAATTTCCTGCACAAAGTTATTAATATTTTTCGAACCCAGTGAACATTGATCTTCATCATCACCTCTTGGAGATTAATGTGCTTCGATTTGTAAAAATATCGATAACTTTTGTCAGGAAATTTGTTCAAAAATTTAGAAAATTAGCTGCATTCTGTTACCCCTTAATCCGATTATCAGAGCAGTAACCCTCGTGACTGAATTTCACGAGGGCTGTACCTTGCGAGTCAAACATCACGAGGGCCATACCATGCAAGGGTCATACCTAGCAAGCGTAAAATGTCATGAGGGTCATATCTCGTAAAGATCATACCTCGCGAGGGTCTAATGTGGCACAGATCATATCTCGCAAGGATCCTGCCACGTGAGGGTCAAACGTCGCAACGGTCATACCTCACGAGAGGTCACCGTTGCAAGGGTTATACCTCGCAATGATCATGTCTCTCATTAGACCCTTGACGATTTTCCTTCCTGCTCCTTTTGTTTGACCCTCATAATCGTTGGACCGTTCTGATTGTCTTTCCTGCCTCTCCAGCTGCCGCTTGTTGTCGTTTGACCTTTGAGATTGTACTCTGCCTGCCCCTATTGTTTAACAAGTACAACGTTTGACCCTCGCGAGGTATAACCCTTGCGGTGTTTAACCCAGGGATCCCCATCAATATTAAATTTCTGTAATATTACAAGGATTTGACCCTTACATTATTGAAGGTTTAAAATATGTTGATTCAATTTTTCAAATAATATAATATTAATAATCTGATTTTTTTACGAATAATGATATATTTAAAATTTGTTAATATGAAACTGTAAATTTACTACCAAGTGAATAATTCAAATTTCTTGAAAGGGGATTTTCAACTACACAAGTAATCGTCAATCTTCCTCAAATTATTGATTGATAAAATAGTTGAAAATTTGAATATTCGAATTGGGGATACTTAAGTACTCAAAAAATTTCAAGAGTGATGTTATCGAATTAAGGGGTACAATATTAATCGTAATGAAATATTACAAATTTGGCTATCCCTGGTCTGACCCTTGTGAGGACCATGACCATGATCTTTGCAACCCTGTCCACGGGGTTATCCTCGCGCCAGAACAACTGTGTTGTTCTCAATCACGCATACGCGGTAGAAAACGTCTAAAACCTCCCTGGTAAATTAGTTATTTTTTTGCATGCAGAAAACTTGGTAAAATACCGGTCCCACAAGACACTTTGTCAGTGCCAGAACAATCGAAGAAGAAGAAGTATTGAGCAGATGAGGTGACGCAATTGGAGGAAAAATGAAAAATACCTTTTTGCTTGAACCTCCGACAGCAGTTTTCTTCGTTGCTTGAGGAGTTGATGCTGATGTGGTGGAGGTGGCGTGTCCATCGGGGATGTGGAAGAGGATGAGGGGTTGCTCACGACAGGAGAAACCTGTGGTTGGCTCGTAGGGAACGTCACAACGGAAGAAACCCTTTCGTTGGAGCTGAATTATTTCACCCTTTTTCACACGTTTCAACTCGGGTTCACCAACGAGTTTCACTTCTTTCTATAAGAATAAATATCTATTTTGAAAAAATCCATGGAACGTTTTTTTCATGAACGTTTATTCATAGGTATTACTACACTGAGAGAAAAACAAGTCTCGTTTGAGCCAGCAAAATCGTTAATTGGAAATTAACAAGAAAATAATTGTTTCGTTCGCATTTGAGAGATTCAAAGATGAATAATTGCTCTGCTTCAACAACAACGAAATATTTAGCTCAAGAGGCGCATCATTCATACAAAACGGCGCCTTTTCAGGATAAAAATATCTATTTATAGGAGGGAGGTTTATCAAGAAATATTTTGTCCCTAAGTTAAGGTTGTTGTCATATCATTATTATTTCATTTGAGCAATTCCACGTCAAATCCGAAATGGAAAAAGTTAAAAAATGTCATGTTTCCCCGACTATTTTGTCGATTTTTTTTTTTGAGTGCATGAGACAAAGCTCTCATAAAATTTTTAGAGCGATTCGTTTTTTTCTCAGCGAGTTATGATTTTTCAAAAAATTTCACTTTTTCAGACAAAAAAAAAATGAGGAGAAAATAAAGTTTTCAAGTAATTGCAGATGGAAAAAAAATAATTTTGCCATAACAGCTCTAAAAATTGAATAAATTGAGATCAATGTGATTATAATCCTCGCCTTCGGCTCGGATTATAAAGTTACATTCGTCAGATAATACTTTTATCGCCTTATGACATAAGATACTATTAATCGAACCGCAAAGAAAAATTGGAAAGAAAACAATAAAATAAATTAATATAATATAATATAATCAAACGTACAAAAAATGAAAAATTCTGATAAATATTAACATGTAAGACTATACAGATTGAACCCTCCCAAATGATAATTGATAGGCAAATTCGGTAGAAGTGTCCGAAATTCCTAGGGTAATTAAAATGCGAAAAAAGATCTATTATAAAGTTGTACTTACTCTCGTATCCTTGGCCACGAAATCCTTGAAATCGTCGTCCTTCCCTAGGACGGCTTTACTGATAATATGATCGAAGTACACAGCATAACAGTTAAGCAACTCATCAGTGGAGACCTCCTTAGGTCCATTCTTGGCAGCCAGCCACGTGAGCTTCACAGTATTCTTATAATCTTTATTGTCAATATTAAGTTTGGCGTTGACTGAGGTAATGACCCCGTTCTCTTTCTTGATGCTCTGAATCATGAGATTTCCCCAGTTGATGAAAGTGGCATTCTGTCCCTCTTTGAGAGTCTCAGCATCGGTCCTCTCGATCAGAACCAATGGACCTGTTTTTATTTGTTTTGTGCCTTTTGATGGGTCTTTTGGATGGTTCTGAACGGTTGAAACGCCTTCAGTGGCTCCACTAACATGAACTGGGATCAGTTCATTCTCGTTCAATCCAGTATATCTAAAAGAAGAATCAGGTGATGAGAACATTTCGGTGATGGAAACGTGGAATAAAATGATAAATTTTTTTTGCAGACATTTCATGCACATTTTGGAAAGGGTACCTGATCGCCACAGGATCCACAACTTTCTTATTGATACTCCAGATCTTGTCCCACTCCATGAACACCACCGACCTTGAGCTCCCCTGAGCAATGATGAACTGCTTCAGTCCCTCCACCGTCATACCCCTCCTGAGAATGCCCCTAACCGTGGGGAATCTGGGATCATCCCAGCCATCAACAAGTCCCTTATCGACAAACCACGTCAGCTTCCTCTTGGACAAAACAGTGTTCGTCATATTGAGCCTGGAATATGCCCAGATATGAGGCCTCCTCAACCCCAAAGCCTCGATGAACCAGAAGAACTGATCATCTCTGTCATGATACTCAGTCGTCCTCAACGTATGCGTGACATTCTCCACTGCATCCACAATGGGACAAGCGAAATCATAAGTCGGATAGACCTTGTACTTGGTCCCAGTCCTTGGATGGGGTTCAGGCTTGCAGCGATAGATCGTGGGATCTCTCATGCACCCATTGGTGGATTCGTAATCGATTTTAGCTCTGACACAGCACTCCTGGCCCCTCTTGGACCCCTTCTGCATCTCTCCCCACAGCTCCAGATTATTCTCCACTGAATTATCACGATTTGTCGAAGGCAATCTGCGGAAATGTCAGAGAGGAAATTCAACCTGTCGATGAAGTCTAGAGGGATCTTTCATAAATTTGGAAGGATATACGAAGGGTAACAGCATATTTGAAGAAACAAGATGAAGAAGTATTTTTATTTTTTATTTTTATTTTTTAGAGCGGGGCAAAATGAAACAGTCCAAAAACGATTGATCAACGCAATTCAAGCAGACAAGCGGGAAATTACTCTTGTAATGTGTATAGAAGAGTTATTTTTGCTAATAAATTAGCAATATGCTTCCGAATGGTTAATTTGCACAACATTTCTTTCGATCATGTATAATTCATTATTTATCTCATTTTATTAAATTGAATCAGATTTCCTTTTACCTAATTTTGTTACATTTTCAACTTAGTTGAGTGTTATCAACATCATTATTCTGATTATCCCTTTTCTTCAATACAACCGATTGTCTTTTTTACAGTTCTATCTCTCCCCTCAGCCCTTCGATAGAATGTTAATGAAAAAATGTTAGTTACACGTACTTGAATGCATTTGAACGATTACAATGCTTCCACTCGGAAGCAAAAAGTTAAACAAAAGTTAATAAAAAAAGGGTATCCGGTTGATTCATCCCAAACAATTCAATCCCACAACAGTTTCATTCTGTTTCTGTTATTATTACTGTTTGCATAAAGAATATCATTTTGAATTCGATTACACAATTTTGTCGTTCATGGCATTCAAATGAGTCAAATTATTAAATTAGTGGCCTAATTTAATAATTGAATTAAGTCGTCAAGTTTTTGAAGAATTTTCAAATATGAATTACTGATTTTTGTAATTTAGTTTGTCAATTAATTTTCAAGTTTTGCACTGATTTTGTAAATCGATGCTGGGGTCTATTACTTGTGACCTATCTGGTGAATATTAATTGAGATAGATAAGAATGATTCGACTGTTTTTCGCAATGTTTCGTGTTAATCCGTTGATCGATTGTGTAAACAATACTAGGAGAGAATCGTGAAGTATCTGATTGATTCTTATGTTGTATTTAGTGCCTTTTTGTGTGAAAATAAAGTTAATATTTTTCTCTCCCTGAATTATTGTTGTGAGCGTGAAAAATTCCATTGGAATTTGATGTTTGAGATGAAATTGTTGTGGGATTAATTTGTTTGGGATGAGTAATCCAGGATGAATTGACCTAGAATAAAAAAAATTGGTAAAAACTTTTTTTTTTTATTGAATTGCGTCAAATAGTTGTTTTTCGGCTGTTTCATTTTGCCCCACTCTCCCTTAAGTTAATCTATTATTATACGTTAATGTAGTCCGTTCGCTAGATTTTTATTATTATAAAAATCCATATTTAAAAAAACGCAGAGCAACTGCAAAGTTTGTCACCAGAATCACCGAAAAAAATCAATAAAACACCATTTTTTACATTCAAATTCTGGCGATAAATGAATTTAACGAAAAGTACAATTTTTGATGCAACAAACCTCTTCTCCCGCTCTTCTTTCATAGTTTCGGCAGGGGTATCATCGACAAAGGCCTTCCCCTCCTTGATCAACTGCTCGCAGTACTTCAGCATCAGCTCGAAGTAGTCAGAGGAGTGGGTAAACCTGTCCGGTTTGATCTCGAGCAGCTGCAGATCCTCCAGAATGGCTTGCTCGAATTCCACGGTTTCTTTAGCTGGATTCGTGTCGTCGAATCTCATGATCAACTGTCCTTTGAAGGCCTCCGCATAGTGGGCGTTCAGAAGGGCTGCCTTGGCATGTCCAATGTGGAGGAAGCCACTAGCTTCTGGTGGAAAACGCACGACGACTTTTCCCTCCTCAGCCCCTGGGAGTTCGATGAACTTGCCTTCCTGTTTTCTTCCTTCTGGTGGGGGAGTCTCGTTTGAGGGAGTCTTGATGGGTTTTGAAGGGGCTGTCTTGAGGAGGGAGGAGTACTTCTGAACTGATGGTAGGGAGGACATCTCGTTGAACCAACGGTTGACGTTGCAGTGGGTCGGAGAGGAGGCAGGGGTGTAGGACTGGGTCCTCAGGGTGGAAAAGACGAAGATGTCAGCGAGGGTGAGGTGCTTCGATACAAGCCAGGTTTTTGTCACCAGGGCCTTGTCGAGGTAGTCTAGGGAAGACTCCCTGGATTTTCTGGAGGAGAGGCGACCTAGGGAGAAGGAGATCCAGCTGTCTACTTGGGTCCTGTCAATGTTGTTGTCACCACCTGGGGAGATTTGGGGATTAATTAGTTTAATTTGATACATCCAGGAAAATGACGCATTTTCTCTCTATATTATGAAAATCCAAAGCGACTTCTGGTGATGAAAATTTTGTACTCGAAATTAAGACTCCAGAATTAAGGGTTCTAAACCAAGGGTCATGGTCTAAATAAGGGTCATGGGGGTCAAAATAAGGGTCATGGGGGTCAAACAAGAGTGAAAATAAGGGTCATGGGGCTCAAAAGAAGCGTTAGAAGGGTCAAAATAAAGGTTGAAATCAGGGTCATGGGGGTCAAAATAAGGGTTCAAATCAGGGTCATGGAGGTGATAATAAGGGTTTAAATGAGGGTCATGGGGGTCAAAATAATGGTCAGAATTAGTGTCATGGGAATCAAAATAAGGGGTAGAATAAGATTTATGGGGCTCTCTCTCAGACCTTTTGTCCATTTGTGAAATTTATAAGATGACCACTTTTGTACTTAGAAAAAGAAATCACGATAAAACAATGGGAGGGGAGGACAAATGTGTCGTTTTTTTGCTTGAATTTGCTTTTTTTTGCTTGAATTGCGTCAAATAATCGTTTTACGGCTGTTTCATTTTGCTCTACCCACCCCTGTATATGAATGCGTAAATAATGATCGTCTTGAACTCACCATAAAGATCAGTATCAACAGTCCTGGCTAGGAACCGACTGACGTCAGTGCTACTCTCGCAGAGGATCTTCCCACTAACCAACAATTGAGCATTGGCTGGTGCTTTCAACTCTTTCGACAACTCCACATCAATTTCCCCTTTCCCCTTCAAACTGATGACTTCTGATGCAATCAGGGCTCCTGAAGTGATGAAAGAAACATAGAATACGGTTTCACTTTAATCAATCTACAAAGCTACGCTCCAGCAACAATTTCTCATGATTCTCTCACCCAGGGGGAGGTCCTCAGCATTCGCAATGAGTTTCATACTCATTTTCACAGCTTTCAACCTTCCAATGAGGTTTTTCTGTTTTTTTATGTGAGAAAATATGGAATTGCAGAGGTTAGGGTGTCACCATGTGCCCGGCGTCGGCCTCTGGAAGTTTGTGACAGAAAAAATACCAGGAAAGGGAGAGAAAGAAAGACAACAGGCGACATCTGAATTCAAACCGCGATTACGTTAGGGTGATGTTTTTCAAAACATCGATTATCAAAGAATCGGTACATTTTTTTATAGCATCGATGTTGTGAATCGATTTTTCTGGAAAAAATATCGGTTGTTAAAAAATCAATGTTTTTTCTCGTTGCACAGAAAAAAAACAAGTTTTTAAAAATAATTTTTTTAATGTCGTTATTATTGAAAAATAAATGCAAATGTTTTTTTTATTTGAAAAATACAACTCGAGGGACTTATCTTTTAGTAATAAATACTACTGGAGAGTCAAATTTTCAATCTCGAAACAGATGACTTGTTGATTAAATGAAAAAAAATATTAAAAACATTAGCTGCAATAATTGTTGATTGTTATATATATATATATTATTAGTGAGAATGGCTGTAGTCGATAGTATAACTCAAAAAAAAACAATAGACGATTGGATCTGTCCAGTTACCATTTATCAGGTACATACTGTTGAAAATAATTACTTCCGATTGCGGATAAAATATTTTTTTTTATTCTGAATCAATGAATGTTATTATTCGACAAATAAAATGACAAATTTTGTTAGCTTACGCAAAAACATCGATCGATGTTTGGAAAAAAAAATCAAATCGAAAGTCGATTAATCGGCCGTTGAGCACATCGAATGCAGAACATCGATTTTTGGGCATGAAAAATCGATGTTTTCGATTAATCGATAAACATCGCCCATCCTTAATTACGGCCTTGAAATGCCGGTTTACAAACGGTAAAAAAAGTCATTATCTTGGGGCTCGTTGAGACAGTCGAGTGCGGTTAATTGTGGAATTTACGTCGTCTTGACTCGAGTGGAATTAGATTACATTCAGCGATTTTTCGGGATTCCAGATCGTGATTTCATTGAGTGATTGATAATTAATCATGGTGACAGGTAGGGCTTTGCATTTTGTTTTCAAGATTCCAGATCGTCGGCTGACGGCGAAATTCTATCGGGAAATACTGGGGATGAAAGTGAGTTTTTCAATCATTATTGGCACATATTTTGTCGGGGAGTCGTGACAGATGATGATGTTTAACCTTGATTCAGGTGTTGAGACATGAGGAGTTCAGTGACGGGTGTGAGGCTGCTTGCAATGGGTGTGTACTTCATATTTTCTTTTGTAAACAGAAAAAAGTTTTTAATTTCCTCTGAATTTCAGAACATTGTCGTTGCGAAATTTAACGAGCGAAAAATCCTGGGAATATGAATTTTGATCATTTTTGTTCATCCAAATTTTCCTGAAAATTTGAACAAAAAGTTCCAGGAAATTCTTGAGCATTAGAATTTTTTTCTTACTTTTTCAGAAAACCAGGGTTCTAGAATCTGAAGTTTTACGTTTAAAGGATATCCTATGAATCCTATGTTGTTCGAACAATATAGTTTAAGAAATTTTTTCGAGAGAAATATAACTGTAAACCTCCTGACAGGAATCCGGGCTCCAGGAACAATTTCTCCTTAGGAATTTCTTTCATGAAATTTTCCTAGCAACTGAAAATTTGTTTTGTCAAATTTATTTTCGCAACTTTTTCGCATCACAATGGTCAATATGAGGCACAGATGTGAAATGAAAATTCAGGACTGATACCTCGCCTTCGGCTCAGACTGCAACCTCATATTTGTCAGAAATAGTACATTACATGCCCGAGCCTTGGAAAAGAGATCACCGTCCCCCACGTGCAAGATTGCCTTCCGAGCAGAACAGCAGAAGGCGAGGAATCTTGCACGTGGGGGACGATGATCTGTTTTCCAAGACTCGGGCATGTAATGTACTATTTTGTCATTCCGGCCGTAAAGCAGAGCTTCACGGTTGCTACGCGTTCGTAAATCACTGCCTATGGTTATGACAAAATAATATATTTTGATACGAGTGCGACGGAATTTTCACGAGTGCCAATCATACGAGTCGAAAATTCATGTCTCACATGTGTCGAACTAGTATATTTCGTAACGAGTGCAAAAAAGTGTTTTTTTGGCGAGTGGGAGGTTTATATCACGAGCCGAAGGCGAGTGATATAATCCCACGAGCTAAAAAACATTTTTTCACGAGTTACGAACAATATTTTTCATCACAATGTGGCGGAAATTGGACTTTTAGGCACGCGGAACGTGCCGAATAGTTCACTTTTCGTCACAGCGTGATGAAATAGTATATTTTGTAACGAGTGCAAAAAACATTTTTTCACGAGTGACGAACAATATTTTTCATCAGAATGTGACGGAAATTGGACTTGTAGGCACGCGGAGCGTGCCGAGAAGTTCACTTTTCCTCACAGCGTAATGAAATAGTATATTTTGTAACGAGTGCTAAAAAACATTTTTTCACGAGTTACGAACAATATTTTTCATCACAATGTGGCGGAAATTGGACTTTTAGGCACGCGGAGCGTACCGAATAGTTCACTTTTCGTCACAGCGGGATGAAATAGTATATTTTGTAACGAGTGCAAAAAACATTTTTTCACGAGTGACGAACAATATTTTTCATCAGAATGTGACGGAAATTGGACTTGTAGGCACGCGGAGCGTGCCGAAAAGTTCACTTTTCGTCACAGCGTGATGAAAATTCTATTGTGATGCTTCTAGACCATATGCCAATCGTTGGAGTAAGACCATGATAGGATATGGTCCTGAGGACACCCACTTCGTGATCGAATTGACGTACAACTATGGGATAAAGAGTTACGAATTGGGAAACGATTTCCAAGGAATCACGATACGCTCCAAGGAAGTTATTGAGCGAGCTAAGAAGAATAATTGGCCCATCAGTGAGGAGAATGGTGTTTCTCTCCTGCAGGCACCTGGAGGGTACAAGTATTACATCATCAATGAGCCGCAAGTTGCTGGTAAAGGTATAAATCGTATTGTAAATCTGATTTGTGTCAATTGTTTTCTATTATATAATTTCCATTTTGAACTAACCAGCAGAAGGTGAGGTCAAATAAAACGTTTGTCATTGACTTGGAATGTCACTACGTATAATTGTGAACGAAAATATTAAGACTCACAACTGTTCTATTTTGCCCCATTCTATTCCTTCTGCAATAATCAGTTACAGTTTCTGTCAATCAATAATAAATGTCATGGTGTGGTTGTACAAGTAATCAAGTGCATAATTGATTTTTTTGTAAATGCAAATAATTTCCGAATGGATTCTTATTTTTTTGAAATTACTATTTGACTGTTCTCTTCTTCTCTTTTTGCTTCCGAATGGAAGCGTTGTATTCGTCAAATCTGAAATTTCCATTTTTTTGTGTGACGATGATTAATTTTGGTCTTAGGAGTTCGAATATGCTGTTTTTAGGTGAGCTTTTTCTTTCAAATTTAGTTTTTCGACGATCTTTCAAAGAATAATCATCGATATCTTTTCAATTATGGCTTAAAATATTCGTTTGGATGCTATCTCCATCAAGTTCGAAGATAGTGGCGATCCCATCATTTGTTTTCAAATTATAGTTTTAAAAAGCATTTAATCGAGGTTTAATCATACACTGGGAAGACAAGAGTTTTTTAAGAAGTACATCTTTACTTGTATTACGAAATTCATGACTTAAAAATTACCAAGCGCACAATATCTCAGACTAAGAAAAAATATTTTACGACAAGAAATTTTTTACTTGGCCGAAAGATGACGGCAATTGGTTTGTATCAAGAAAACGAGTTCTCAAATCAATTCAAGTGGTTTTTGCATTAAAATATTTCAGAATTGAGGGTAAAAAACTATGAAATGATTAATTCCATTTTACTTGCTTTGAGAAATGGCTTTCTTGTCATCAAGAAATTGTCCTCATCTTTAGGACAAATGCAAAATTTCTTGACGAAAGTTTTTTTTCTTGGTGCAATCTCTTATTAAAAATGCTCTTTGAAAATGTTCTGTTTTTTTCTACTTTTTTTAATTATAAAATACAATCATAATTTTTTGCGACTCCTGCATAATGTAAAATTCAATAGAAATTATGATATATTTTACATTATGAAGATAGAAAATAATCGAGGTAACGTTCGAAAGATAATCCACCCGGGCCTTAATGATTTTCTCAAACCTTTCGATTTTCAGAAAAATATATCCAAAATTAGACGAGAGGTACAAACTCATTTCGTACAACCACTTCATGATTGCATTAAACTGAAGTCATTATCCCATCACTAAATTATTTTCTATTCTGACTCAGACCCAGTGGAAAAGGTCACGTTATCGAGTTCAAACCTCGAGAAGAGCATTTCTTATTGGAGGGACATTCTCAATCTGAAAGTATATGATCAAAAGGACAAGACTGTGCTCCTTGGATTCGGAGATGATCAGGCGAAACTGGAGCTTAAAGATATTGGTAATTATAATCCTTTCTAAAAAAAGTATGGGCAATATCTCGAATCGAAATTGAGAACTTGTAAAGCGGTTTTAATGAGTAGAATCGTCTTGTGTTGAATTCTCATGAAGCCCGCCTAACAAACAAAACATAACATGGTTCAACAAAATTCGGACGTATTCGACCTCGAAAACGAAACAGATTCCATCTTATAAATATTTTAATGCTGATTTTAAATTTATTTTCAGAAATCTTTTTAGCACATCTAGTTTTCGAGGAAAAAATATTGAAATGTTGAAAAATAGCTAAAATGAACAATTTGAAAAATTTGTAAAAAAATTAGTTTCGACGTAGTTTTTCCCAGAAAAAACCTATGAATTACTGAAAATGCGATTTGTTTAGTGGACTCGATTTCATCCTCAATTGTTGAGAGGTTTAGTTGCTGAAATAAAGTTAAAAAATAAAGAGATTAGCGCACAAGGTGAACACACGTGTGTAGATAGATTTGAGATTGACATGCATCAAAGCGCAACCAACTTCCGATCAATTGCCCTTTTCAGCCACTTTTCAATACTTTAGCATTTTTTTCGCGAAAACTAGACGTGATAGACACATTTTCCAAAAGAAATTTAACATCAGCATCAAAATATTTAGAAAATGGGGTCAGTCTCGTTTTTGTGGTCGACAACATCCGAATTTTGTCGAACTGTGTAATTGAATACCATTCCATGAAACATGAATAAATAAATCATAATTGTCCAAATCATTTAGGTCAGAGGAAAATAGAATAATTCTATTTTCTTAATATTACGTTTATAAGGTTTTTTCTTTTTACGATTTCCTCAGCTTTGTTTGTCCATTCATTACACTAAAATAATTTCATTTTTTTTCAAACTCTAGGAACCCCAATAAACCACGCAAAAGCCTATGGAAGAATAGCTTTTGCAGTTCCTCATGCCGAGCAACCCGAGATCCAGAAAAAAATTAAAGAGTCCGGCCACCAAATTCTAACGGATCTGATAACGCTGGAAACACCTGGGAAGGCATCAGTCCGAGTGATAATCTTGGCAGATCCGGTGAGCTCAAAAACCATTACGTGACAACGTAATTGAGGAAAATTACTGATTCATGATTGTGAATGTTTAATTCATTTTTCCCAGGATGGCCATGAGATCTGCTTCGTAGACGAGGAGGGATTTCGTCAATTGTCAGTACCTGATTACCCCAGTGAAAAGATTCTTGATAAATATATCGAAAAAGATCCAACTGAATGAAACAATTCAATCCAATTTCATTGTTTTATCAGTAAAAGGTAAATTATTACACTCCTCTGAAACTTCGTTCGGCTCTTATATTTTTTATCGGATTATGTATGAATTTTTCGAGAATTTGTTCCTTTTTCTTAGAAATCAAGAGTCGGTTTTCGGTTCCATACGTTGTACGGACGTTTTGTACGGACTTTCACAGATATTTTTCTATCGACGTTCTTCATAAGTCCAGATGGTTATGTATTTTTCTACTCTCTGAAGGTAATGTTATGATCAAAATTTTGCTATTGGCCGTTGACTCTCAGATATTTATTGAAAGTGACCAATAGTCAAAATTGACGTCAACCGTTTTATGTCGGTTGCGAAATTAGGAAGAACTGAGCTCCATGCAAGCTCCTTATCCTTTGAAAAGTTATACATAATCCAATTGACAGTATGAGCATATTATGTAAGTGTTCACAGAATGTAATTATTTAACTTGCATGAACAAAATATATTGACGTGGAGATTATTCATTAAATTTGTACTAAAACAAGGGATATCACTACTTGGGGAATGGGAAGTACTTAATTACCAGTTGTAAATACTCTTTCGAGAAATAAAACTAAAAATGTTTCATTCTAAATCAAAAACAAATCATAACTCTATATTTGTATACTATGTTGTGAAAAATATATTTTTGTTTCAAACGAACAAAGATGTAAATTTATCTTGAAATATAATTTTTTTATGATTTAGAATTAGGGATGTGTGAACTGTTCGAAATGACGAACCATTTGGAGTGAAATGAATATTATCATTCGGTTCTAGATACAAATCGAGTATTGAATATTTCCCTAATATTTGGAATTTTACGGAAAAATGTTCCCATGAAAATAGTTCCCTGTAGGAAATCTATTCCACGGAAAAGTATTCCCTAAAACCCAACAACCAGCCCGAAAATTAAAAAAAGAACCACAATAAAAAACTAATAACCGCTAAATTGTAAGGTCATGAACATATTTACAAAAAAAACGAAGATAATTAAATACAATTCACAACGAAACGAACAATATGAAATCCCAAATTCGAGAACGAGTCGAGAACGTGAAAAATGTAAATCAATATGAATTCAAAATGACGAATGTTGGCAACGCTTTTCAGATATTTATCGACATCATCGTGATTGTAGATATCAACAATAGCTTTAAGGCGAAGATCATGATCACGGTAAGTTTTTTTCCTCTTAGCAGGAGAAGCACCGCTCTCTAGTCCAGTCAATAAAAGTGTTTGGATCCTAGCTAATACGACTGTGTGAGAAAAATTGTCAATCGATGGGCAAAAATGTCTCTCTATATTATAAAAATCCAAATCAACTTTTGGTGATGAAAATTTGGTACTCGAAATTAAGACTCTAAAATTAAGGGTCATGAGGGTCACGAGGGTAAGAATAAGGGTCACAAGGGTCAGATTAAAGGCCAGAATAAGGTTCGCAAGGGTCAGATTAAGGGTTATGTGGATCAGATTAAGGGTCGTAAGGGTTATGTGGATCAGAATAAGGGCCCACAAGGGTAATAAGGGTCAGATTAACGGTCTAAATAAGTATCGCAAGGATCAGATTAAGGGTCACCATGCTCAAAATAATGTTCACAAGGGTGATAATGAGGGTCAGATTAAGGATCCTAATGGGGGTCACAAGGGTCAGATTAAAGATTACAAGGGGCATGGTCAACATAAGGGTCAGAATAGAGGTCTAAATGAGGGTCATGGGGGGTTAAAATGATCAGAATAAGGGCCATGGAGTCAAAAGCAAAGTTAGAATAAGGGTCTTGGGGATCAAAATAAAGGTCACAAGGGTCAGAATAAGGGTCCCAATAAGAGTCATGGACGTCCCTGTTTATGAGACGATTTCACTGATTGCGAGCGAACGGTGAATTCATAATTCTTCTGAAGTAATTATTGAATGCTTACGGTGTCACGATTAATATGAATCGAATGATTCATTTGATTCCAATGTTATGTTTATTCTCTTGCGCTATCCATTTTTGGAGACATTTTATCATCCAGCATTTTGTTAAATTTAAAATCCTTTAGGGATAAGTAGAATAAAGGATACACATCTACATGTCTAGTGTGATTCATTGTTGATTAACCCACTCGCCCTGTAATGCAAACAATTATCATTTATTTTTGGAAAGAATACACTTCACACTTCCGTTGACAATAGTCGACTCTATTGACTATAATTTTGGAAATCTTGTCGTGACGTGTGATTCGTGCAAGTCCTTGTCATCCAACTGAATCAATAATTTAATGTGCTTTACGAGTGCATTGCAAAATTTGAATTGCGTGAACAAAAAAGCAGGTAATGATGAAATTTTGGCGAACGTGATAAACATGGCGAATCATAATTCAATCCAACAAAGACACAGTTGGGTCTTAACGACTGACAAGAGTTATGCGATATTTTTCTATTGAAGTATCCATAAATTTTCGAGAGCAGTTGGCATTTATAAGGAACCGGAGGCGATTTTTCGACAGTCACTGGAAATTTTTCGGAGAACGACGCGAATCAACCGAAGATGCGAGGTACATGTATATCCCTAAAATAATATCCGCAGAATTTTCTTTTTTTTCTCATGACAAGATCAAAGGCGCGCTCCCCGCGCCTGCCCATTTGGTAGATTTTATATGATTCATCACGTTATTATTGTAAGTTGATTGAAATCATTATGTTCTTCCACGTACACGAATTTCTATAATATTTACTACGAAGAAATTCGTGGGAAGCAATAAAAACTTCTATTGAAAATCCACAATTTTTTTTTCATTGCAAAGGGATGGAAATTTCCATTGAGAATCAATAGAAGATACGGCAAGAGCTATGAAGACTTGCATTAGAAAGCGAAGGATTTTCGATAGAAATCTACGGAAACTTCTATTAAGGGGAGGCTACTATGAGTTTTAAAAGTCATGGGTTAATAGAGTGAGACTTTTCACACGTTGAATATCGATTATATAGATCTGAAAACGAGTAATTAGTGCAAAAAGAATTTTTTTTTTATTGTTCGTTTACCCGAAAACACTTAAAATGCCAAAAACAGTCCAGGCCCTTCAATTTTTTGAACTACGAAGGATTTTTTTAATTCGCCTAGTTATTTTTTTTTAATTCGCCTCTTACATGGCTAAATTTGCTTTTTTTTGTATTTTTTTACACAAATAGTGAATTTTTTTATATGAAAAAAAACGAAATCAGCTGTGTAGGAGTCGAATTTCAAAAAACAGGCTCGTAATTATTGTTCTACACATTTTTTCAAAAATTTTGAAAAAGAAAAATCTTTTGTAGCTCAAAAATTTGAGGCCCTGGACTGTTTTTAGCATTTTAAGCGTTTTCAGGCAAACGACGCCAAGAAAAAAAATTTTTTGCACTAATTATTTGTTTTCAGATCTAAATAATCGATCTTCAACGCATGACAAATCTCACTCCAATAACCCACGTCTTTTAAAACTCATAGTAGTCTCTCCTTAAAAGTCCCTGAAAAATTCGGCGAAATCCATGAAAACCTCGATTGAGAATCAATACATGCTCTGTTGGAAATCACCAACACCAACATCATCAATATTATCAACATCACTAAAATCATCAGCACCATCAATAAAATCAATATTATTAACAAAATCAGTATCATCATCATCATGCATGCGAGTTCTCTTTCAGACATGTAGGAATAAACGTGTGACATCTCATTTTTATCTATCACGAGATCGACGGCGCGCCCCGCGCGCCTATCACTATGATTGATTTTATAGGATTCATCACGTTATTATTGTAAGTTGATTTGAATCAATATGTTATTGCACGTATACAAATTTCTATAGCAATACTAGGGAGGAATTCGTGGAAAATGATACAAACTTCTTTTGAAAATCCATGAATTTTTTTGATTGAAAAGGGATATGTGAATCTCCATCGAGAATCAGTCGGAGATACGTCGAAATCTATGAAAATTTCAATTGAGGATCAACACATGTTTTGTTGGAAATGATGTTGGTATCGAAGATCAGAAAATAATTCAATGTCAATGTATATGGGCGTTATCGATGGAAAACCATGAATGTCTCGGATACTAAATATCCCTAGTGGAAAATTCAAAATTATAGCGTTACATACCTGATCAAAAACTGATAAGGTAACCTGATCAGTAACTGATCAAGAACTGACTAAAATTTCCACTCGGGATATGATTCAAATTGAGAGTGAAATTCGTAAGTGTCCTGGTAGCTCAGATGGTAAGAGCACCCGACGTGACATTGTGAGGTCCCGGGTTCGATTCCCGGCTAGGAAGTTACAAATTTTTTCTCTCAAAAAATTAAATTTAATTAATGCCTAATGATGGTAGGCGGCGAAACCCTAGTGGAAAATTCAAAATTATAGCGTTACATACCTGATCAAAAACTGATAAAGTAACCTGATCAGTAACTGATCAAGAACTGACTAAAATTTCCACTCGGGATGATCAAGTCGGTTCCTTTTATACATACATATAAATATAAGATACGTATGGACATGATCTAAAAACAACATATTCAAACTCCTGAAACCAAAATGGAAATTTCAGATTTGACGAATACAATGCTCCCTTCGGAAGCAAAAAGAAAATTTTAAAAAAATTCTCACATTTTACTGTAGATTTGGTGCCAAGCATGACTTAATTAGCCGAACACATGAGTGCTCCCCCGATGATGGATACATAATGTCGAGCCGTCCACGTCTGAACGATAAATCTTCACAATGGTCCAATTGTACCGTGAAAGATATCCAAGAATTCCTCGAGTAAGATTATAATCAACGAAACACCTCCTAATCTTTGATTTGAAAAATTATGAACTTATTTCTGCAGCACCCATCCAACTTGCCTTAACAATAATAAGTTCGGCCCGAGGGAAGTCCTGCCTGTATATCTCCCTGGAAGATTCATGAACGTTCATGAGCAGTGCCAGAGATTGGTGGGAACCAGAGCTTGTAAACTAGACTCTTCAATCTGCTGGGCTCTAAGCTGCAACTCCGAAAATGGGGGCAGCTGCACGAAAATGCACAATGCTGCTGCTGATGGTACAACTTGTGGGAGTGGAAAAATTTGCTTAAGTGGAAAATGTGTCGGCGAACCGATAGTTTGTTCATAGACAAAACGAAGAATCAGTATTGAAAGAGGAATTCATATTGTAAAAATGTAAATCAACTGGTGAAAATACATATAGTTTTTCTCACGGGGACAATTTTGTTGTTGATTATTAGTGAATGCACCAATGACGGTTCTGTCTGAATTTGCCTACACGGAGAGAAATGTTCAGTAAAAATTACGGAACTCACAATTCGCTCACCGATTACGGAATCGATTCAGAAAATTCGAGTGACGGTATCGTAATTTTTCACAGGAGATTCAGATAAAAATTACGGAACGTTCTGGAATAATTCCGTGATAGTTGCGTAAAATTTCCTACAACCACATTTCGCTCCGAAATTACGGAAAAGATACGTAATGTTTATTGAATATTTCTCTCCGTGCAAAACTGAAAGACATTTGATTGCTGATGATGATCATGAGGGAAATGATAGATTAGAAAATAATTGTCCATTAATCAGAATTCATTGATTTACGTCACGCACAAAAAAATTTAATAGAAAAACCTATCGAATTCGTTAAAAAATTCTATTGAATTCTCGCATGAGAAAATAGAATGCTGTTCACCCAGTTTTTCGGAAGTCACGTGAGAAACTACGGAAAACGCATGAAAAATTAGTGCACGACTCACAAAAATTAGGGTGCCACATATGAATTTTTCAGTACGGGATACTACTTTTTCAGTGTCTCCCTCTACTTTCTTGTGCCACCTTCCACACGTCCCATGCGTTGGTGAGAAGGTACACTAATTTTCGAGAGATTTTTCTCTCCGTGTATCCATTTTATTATTCCGCATTTTGGTAAATTTGAATACTTTAGGGATAATTAGGACAAAGGATAAATATCTACATGTCTAGCGTGATTTATCGTATGATTGTCCCATTGTTACCCTAGTTCGCAAAATTCTCATCCATTAACGATGTTTATCAAAAATCGGAAGTATTAAAAAAAAATAGTTTTGTTTTCAACTGAGCGATTAAGTTATTCCCTTTATCTTGATAAAAATTGCATTCCACCAACCCATGTTTATTATTTAGAAATGAAATTGACAAAATGCACCAAATGCATGCGCCAACATACGATAGAATCTTTCAAATATTTCCTCTTTTTGCCCGGGTACCTCAAATTTTTCTCTGGCCATTCGATTCAGTAGAGTTTTGCACATTACTTCTAGTAGGTGAATTATAAATTTCAACGTAAATCCCATAAGATCCCGTGTATAACGAAAAATTTGTTTATTTATTTGTTTATTTATTTTTTTAACATCAAAGAAATTAGTTTCATATGTTCTGCTATCAGCTAAAAAAGTTATAAAATTTTTCTTGACCATAAAAAAATAAGATTTGCTGAAAATGGCTAAACATCCTTAATAGAAAGAATATAAAGAATAGAATAGAAGAAGAATAGAAAGAATATATGTCAGGTCGATTGGAATATTGTAAATATTCCAATGGAATGGAAGTCATCGCTGACGTCCATTAGTAATAGTCAACTCTAGTCACTAGAACTTTGAAAAACTGATTTGTGGCACGCGTTTTATATAAGCGACAAACATCAAACCGAATGAATATTTGGAAAATACATTACGAGTGCATTGGGCTATTTTAATTGTGTGGAAAACAAAGTAGTTAATGATGGAATTTTGGAGATAAGATAGCACAGACTCAATTAGGTTTTAACTTCTGACATGTAGTTAAAGCAAATCTCATAATTAAAGTGTCTAGAAATTTTCATGAATAGATGAGACTCATAGGGTATCGGAGACGATTTTTCGGCAGTCGCTGGCGCCTGCTCGAAGAACGAACCCAGTCAACCGAATATGCGAGGTACTCGAGGGGCTATTCACAGGCGTAATCGTGGTGTCACTCGCTGATGTAATCAATTGTAATTCCAGTGAAATCAATGCAATTATTGTAATCACATGATTACCATATTTATAATCAAGTGGTAATCGTTTGTAATCACTGCAATCATTTGTAGTCAGTGCAATCTTTCGTAGTAGCTCCTAGTGAGACCGTGAAATTTGTTTTGGAATTTTCGAGCGCGTCATTTCTACCAACGGTAAATCTCAGCGATCCCTGGATCAATTTTTCTTGGAATCCCAGATGTTTATGGTTCAGAACCTTGCATAGCCAATACGTTTTGCACAGAGCATTTGTCCGTAGAAAATTGATTCAACAGAGTTGAAATTTCTTTTTATTCTGGAGAACCAATGACTGAATTATCTCTGAATTATCTGCTGGTAAGTTTCATTCTCCATCAATGGTAGATATTCAGTAAATTTATTTTGCTGATAGCACTTAGAAATGCCCAAATTTTTAGATGGAGTGATGGAGACTGCATTCCTCTGTTCTAATCCCCGCCCCTCCTTCCTCATTTCTTTGCAGGTTCTAATAATTAATTATTCCATCAATTCATATTTAATAGGGGGGCATTTTTCGTGATTTCAATAATTGCAGATGTTTGGTAATCACAGAATGTAATCGACGAAATCATTTGTAATCAAGTAATTACAATCTGTGCTCTTGGTAATCACGGTTATCACATAGACAATGGTAATCAGTGTAATCAATCCCGTAATCCTGGGTAATCGATTACATCTTGTAATCGCGGTGTCACCCAATTCGCCTGTGAATAGCCCCTCAGAGGTACCTCTATATATCCTTGAAATAATATCCGTAGAATTTTCTTTTTTGTCTCATGATGACGTGTAAAAATGCAATAGAATTAACGTGAGGCGACATGTCTTTCAGGATTTACGCCATTATTTTGGGGCTTTGCTGCACTTTATGTTGCCAATGCAGGCCAACTACATAGAGTAAGTACATAAATCATCATAAACTATTGGAAATGCTGAATAACTTGCCGTAATTCTAGATACATAAGCGCATGACGCCCAGTGAAAGAATGAAAGTCTTTAAGACGACCGAGGAAAATGGTAAAGATTCAAAAAATCATTCAAAAATATATTCCCTATTTCTGGGTTCATCTCGTATTATATAAAAAAATGGAAACCTAACAGTGCCTGATTATGAAATTACCGGAATTCATTGGCCAAGAGATCAGAAGAGTTCAGTTAAGGATGGCACTGGAATGTACCTGAAGGCTTTCGGAAAAAATATTCAATTGTGGCTGACGCCAGCGGACAGAGCTCTCGCTGGACGAGACACCCCAGTCTACTCACTAGTGTCAGGAGGCTGGGGCCCCATTCTAATGAAATATACCAAGGTAAGTTGTTTTTCAAGCTGTCCTCCCATTCGATATTTTTAGATAACTATTCATCACGTTGATGATGTCTTTATAGGTGATAAAGACGGTGGAAAGATTCGAAGACTTGGAAAAGTCTGCGGTACTAGTGATTAGTCAAAGAAGTGATAACAGTCGGGCAATGGTAAGTGAGATAGAAAATGAATATAACACTGAGAAATAAACATTCAAGTCAATTAATCCAATAGCGAAGTGGTAAAAGGCAACAAGTCGATTCATCTCCTGGTTGAAGTTCCGAGGAATATCCCTAAATCCACCAGAGATGGCAAAATTGTTCTGGGGAGCTTTTTGCAGAGCGGAATGAGAGCTAAAGGGAAACTCTCCATAAAAATTTTGCTATCTCAGAATCGCAGATATTTCTCGAGAGCTTCACCGTAGTCCGCTCACCAATTCGACCCGGCGATTGGTCACCTCCACGGGGATTCCCCGCCGTCTTGTTTAGGCTTTGGCGTTACCGCATTCACTCAACACTGCCCGACGTTGGCGGAAACTCACGGCTTATTATTTTTAAATCACCCGTGACGGTAGTTTCTGTTAACGTCGCGTCATGAACAATTTCATTTAACATGGAAAAAAATGATTCATCTGTCCGAAATCATTTGTTTTCTTTAGGAATTTTGGGAAATATGCAGTTCTAAAAACTACTATACTTTTTTTCTGTACCATGTAGATTGGAACAATAGCATCGGAAAATTTGGTAATCACCCCAATTCCTGAACGTCTCGTTGATGAAGTCAAGAGGCGACGCAGATCTGTGGATGATGTTCCCGAGTCCGAACAAGACGATCATCATTATCACATTGTCTACAAGGGATCACCGGTGGATGACAGATACTCTGACTCATGTAGTTTCATTTTCATTTTTTTCCTTATTGTTGATCTTATTCATCGTTCATAATTATTTCAGTCATGTCAAAGAGGAATACCGCAAACCTATGGACAGCTCAATTACCAGAAAACATGGACCTTGGCGAATGCTCTAGAGCGCATAGGAGGTGCGTCCATCGATGCGGTGATCTTTCAATGATCGATGATTGGAAGATATATGGAGAATGTGCCAAGTGCCAAGAATATAGACGTGATTTTACCGAGCAATGTCCTTTGAGGCCTGACACTGTATACCCTCGAATACTAGTCATCGTTGCTCACGACTTCTACCAAAAATTCCATAAAAATTATGTCGATACAATAGCTTACTTGCTAGCATTTTGGAACGGTGTGGATTTGAAATACAGATACTTTGAGAATCCCAAGTTCAGACTGAATATCGCAGGTATTGTGTTGACTGAGGTGAGATTCATCATACTAATGCAGACTTTTATACCCTCGATCACTCGCTCAATGAGCGCGGCGCCGCCCGTTTTCGTTTTTCTATGTTTTGGCGTTTTTCTCGATGCTTAAAATTTCTGAAAAAATTAAAGTTCCTAGTTCAATCCTTTTATTAAGCGTTAGCGTTGTCCGTTTTTTTCTCGGAAAATTTGTTTCCGTCACGGCGGGCGCAAAGTGCACATTTCCCTCCCGCGGAACGCCTCAATCAATCTGACTGCGCCTGTACCGTGAGGGAAAATAACATCCTGATCACGGGAAGTAAAATAAAGGGCCCTTACCCACGTGCTTACCACGTGGTAATTTTGCACGTGGGCACAACTCCTTTATTTTCTCTCCCTATCCTCCTATTCTAAAAAGAACATTACACTTAAAGTCGATAACTATCGATATATCGCAAGTCTGTCACGCTTATTCCTCATTGGTTCCAGTCGTCTGAGGCGGCAAATTTAATTCATGATTAATTTAATTTTGAAATTTTCAATTATGATTATTACAAATCAATTATTGGAACCGTCACTTGATAACAATTTTTAACAGTGTTTCTCCCATCAATACGAAGTTCATTATGATTGTACAATTGATTTAGGATGCTGAAGCACTGGAATATATGACAACGAATGTAATTGACGAAAGCACTATAGAAGCCTTCAAGACGCTAGATGGGAGTGAAAGTTATTGGTACGCGCGAAAAGCTGATATTCCATTCGATAACTACGATGTAATCGTGACAATGACATCGTAAGATGATTCATAACTCAAATTTTCATCAACTATTGCAGATATGAAGTCTCTAAAATGTGAATATTTGATTATTTGAAATTTCAGAACCAATATGTGTTCATTTCCCAGCGATATCATGAACGGAGTGTGTGAAAGTGGAATTCTAGGTAATAATATAGAATGAAAAATATTTTCGTTTTGATTTCATGTTTTGGAATCTCTATCTTGTGAATCGAATTGTTTCGCTATGGTTGCAGGGGTCGCCAACGTAGGCGCAGCTTGCACAGGATCTGATTTCAGGGGAGAGCTTTTGAATGTAGCTATAGTTCAGGACCAAAGCGCATTCAATAGAATTCACACAGCTGCGCATGAACTTGCTCATTTGTACGTATAAAATAAAACAAGTGGCCCATTGCCCAGGTCTAAATCAAGTATCGTTTCTTTGCTAAAAATTAGCAATTTGCTTCCGAATCGATTCATTGAATTAACACAAAAAAGTGCATATTCTGTCCTTAATTTCAGATTAATAGGGATCCTTCTTGAAGTTTAACCTCATAAAAATTCAATAGCTTTTTTTAAAGACAATTTGAGACAAAATTTTTCTTAGTGAACTAAATTTATTTTAAATTAGACAAATTGAGTGACAACAAAATGAATGTAAAATTTGGTAACACAAGAGTTCATGCTCCTGATACAGCAATGTTGATGTCTCCTTGGTCATAAGTAAATTATTTAAATTTTATTTTTCTTCTGAATAATTTTCCTTAAACTGGACTTAGGACCTGTACAAGTTTTTTGCTAATGAATTAGCAATTTGCTTCTGGATGGTAAATTCGGGAAACAGATACAGCAGCCATGAAACCTTAATATGATCCCTAAATATCCCAAATATCTAACATGAGCTCCATATACCCTGGTTAAACATCTAACAGACGCCGACTAAATTAAAATTAAACTGGTTTAAAATTCCACTCATAATTGATTAAACCTTGACGAAGCCTTGGTTAAACGCTAATTAATGCCTGACTAAATCCCGACTAAACCCTGACTAAACCTCGGCTAAACCCTGGCTAAACTCCGACTAAATCCTGACTAAACCATGGTTAAACCTCAATTAAATGCTTTTTAAGGCTATCATTTCAAAGCAAATGATACGATCGCCACTATCTTCGACCTCGACCGAGATATTATAATATTCAAACAAATATTTTAAGCCATAGTTGAAGAGATTTCGACGATGATTTTTGAATGATCGTCGAAAAACTAAGATGAGATGATCTAAAAACATGTTCGAACTTCTGAGATCAAAATTAGTCATCGTCACACAAAAAAAATGGAAATTTCAGATTTGACGAATACAATGCTTCCATTCGGAAGCAAAAGAGTGAACGATTGCTTTCTCTTATTCAATCGTTGGCCCCACTGAGAGATTTTCAAGGGCCCAATTTCTTGAACGAAGATTAAGGATAATCGTCCTTCATCTGAGGATCGCCTAAGAAAAAAAAATTCTCACATTTTACTCTAGATTCGGTGCCAAGCATGACGAAATTAGCCGAACACACGAGTGCTCCCCTGATGATGGATACATAATGTCGAGTGGTCCACGTTTGAACGACAAATCTTCACAATGGTCCAGTTGCACCGTGAAAGATATTCAAGAATTTCTCGAGTAAGATTAAAATCAACGAAATATCTCAGCATTTTCAGAACTGGCCAAAATACTATTTGAAATATTATTTCAAATACTTATGACTAATTACTATTTTGGAGTTATTGAACAGCGCAAATAAAATAGAATTTAAATAATTGGACTCAAATAAATACTATTTGAAAATAATTTCTATTGCCAACTGATGAAATATGGCAAATTGGGAATAGTATTTAAATAATTCGGTCAAGGAACTTACTATTTGATATAATTCATCGAATTTTCTTGAAATTTTGTTTTATTACTTGAAATTTTTTCTAAAATTCTATGCAATAATATCCTGTGATGTCACAAAATATGAAACGCCGGTTTTAGTAATAAGCCCGGTAATTAACCCATACGGACCAGCGGCCATAATCCGTCTATTCAGCCAATTCTTCGTAATTCACTGCGATTATGTTACTGCGAGAGATCAATGGAAGTGATGAAGGATAGGAAAGGGACATTTTCGTAGGAAAAAAATAGTTCATGAAAAACTAAATAGTGAAATAGTGAAATAAAATATTAAATAACTATTTTATTTCAATTTCAAAAAGACATGTAAATAAATACTATTTGATCGATCGAAATAGTTGACTTGAAATATATATTTCAAATAGTATATCATCGTACTGAACCATTTGGAATAGTATTTCTATTTGATTTTCATAAAATGGTGCCCAGCTCTGATAATCTTTGATTTGAAAAATTATGAACTTGTTATGCTGCAGCACCCATCCAAAATGCCTCAACAATAAGATCAACCAGAGGAAAATTCTTCCTGTATATCTCCCTGGAAGATTCATGAACGCTCATGAGCAGTGCCACAGGTTGGTGGGAACCAAAGCCTGTAAAACAGCCGCTTCAATCTGCTGGGCTTTGAGCTGCAAGGACCTATTATGGGAGGATTGCATGGAAATGCGCCATCCTGCTGCTGATGGTACAACCTGTGGAAGTGGAAAAATCTGCTTGTATGGAGAATGTGTCGACGAATCGACGGTTTATGCGTAGACAAATCGAAGAATCATAATTGAACGAGAAATTCATGTTGTACTAATGGAGATGAATTGATAGAAATACATATATTTTTTTCTCTGAAGGCAATTTTGTTGTTGATTATTAGTGAATGCACCTGTGAAGATTCTCTCCGTGCATTTATTTACGAGTATGAACGGGTATACATATTTTGAGTGATGGAGATAGAAAAAATCGAGACAAATATTTTGAAAAAAAAAAATTCGATCGGGTGAATAGTTCTCGAGATATTAAGGAAAAACGAAATTTCGATAAATGACTATATCTCAGAAACTACTGGACCGATTGACTTCAAATTGCGCTCAAAAATTGCGCATTGATAGTACCTATTTTGATGCAAAATTGCAGATTTTTATGGATGAATTTCACGGTATTAATATTATTTTTTCTAAAAAATAATCGACGAAAACTCAATCTGTCACACAGACGTACAGACATTTTTTCTAAACATCATTTCTTTACGTTTTATAACATTCTACATCATTTCCAGGCAAAATTAGAATATATGAAAATCGGTCAAATACAATGCTTCCATTCGGAAGCAAAAACGAATTCGATTGACTTTTTCTATTTAATATGTTCTATTGAACATTTCAATCCAATCGGCCAAAAACAAATAGAAACTTCAATAGAAATCAATAGAAATTTTCTAACGAATTCGCTAGGTTTTTCTACTAAATTATTTCATCCGTGTATTTACCATACTTTCCGCTAGACTCTGCTCAGGCAATTTTTTATATACAGAAAGATGAAAAATAACTGTCGTTTTTTTTCTATTGTCATTGCGACCGCGTGGCTAAAGGGGGGGGGGATCTAATAGCTCGTCATGTGACTGTCGCGCATGAATTTACGATAAACAACTCAAGCTTCCTTTTCAACGCGCTCTTCCTCCTTCTTTCTCTCCATTGCCACAGGCCACAGGGTGAGTCGAAAAATAAACTCAGGATGCCCCTCTTCTCTCTAGCTCCCTTGCCCAAACCCCATTTATTCAATTGAAATCATCACGTAGTGAGTGTTAGTACTGTGCTCAACTTATTACAAATTGTAATTATAATTGCAATTTACAATGCATCAATTGGAGTGTTAGTACTATGCTCAACTTATTACAATGCATCAACTGGATACCTAACATATTTAATCAGACAAGATAAGTGGTATTAACTACACACAAAGTATCCTACTGCATGACGCATCGTCGATGAAACGTGTCTGACACGGTACGACCGGCACTTCTATTCTCACACTCCGATTAGTCTCTTCCAATATCAACCATCGATTTAGTTGTACAAAATCCAAAGTTTACACGTCAACAATGAAGACTACAATATCGCTAATTCTAATATTAACCCTCATAATTCGTAATTCGTCCGCAACAAACACCAGTGATACACACAATGCAAAATCTAACCTATTCAGAAAAGAAAACCTGAAGAGTTTGGTAAATGCATTCGTGACATGCGCCGAGAAAGTGCCTCTCACTGATTTCGCTGTGATTTTGGAAGACTATATGGATACTGAAGATAAGATCGAGGACTTCGTGGGCACTACAATAGATGGAGATGCCTTTCTGCGCATCCTGAGATTCTACAAAATACATTGTGAGAAGCTCGTGACATCTCTCGTGGAAATAGCGAATGTTATTTCGCAGAAGCCTGCATATCAACCATTCAAAAAGTCTAGAGAAATCATAATGAAATTTTTGGAAGCTATTGGGTCAACGAATCTCGATGCGAAGACCGTAATGGACCTTATGCTGAGTTCTGACGTGTTTAATATAGACCGGACGATTCAAAAAGAAACTCAGAAAAAATTGATGCAGGATCCAGACTTCATCAATTTGATTAAAGCCTTCGATGAAGATTCTGCTCTTTTAAGAAAAGTGTTGCGTCGGTTGATAAAAAGATTCGAGAAGAACGAGGCAGTGCAGACGGTCTTATCGCGATGTTTGAAGACCAATTTGGTCCAGATGGTGGGTAATTTATCTGAGAAAATCGTACAGTTTGTGACCTTGAGTGTGCTCATGGAGAAACACCAACAGCAGGTGCCGGAGAAGATGAAGAGCCAGTTTTTCGCGGATCTTGACGAGTGGATACCAATGCTGGTCCTTTATGTTCAGGCCGATGGAGATTTACAGAATTTTGTAGCGTACGTGAAAACTGATGGATTTAAGAGTCGGGTCACAAGAGTTTATCAGGAACTCACAGTCGAACGGGGTGGGGAGAACTTTATCAGAGATGAACTGTGAGTGTCAGTTGGAGAGGGAGGTAACGGAGATTCTTGATATGTAATATAAGATGCTTTATAGAGCAAAATTTTTCAATCAAAGAACTGTGTTTAAATGTATTTCACTATGAATATTTCAAGACATAAAAGATATTTTGTACTGATAATCTTTGCATTTTATTTTTATCCATTGAACGTTGGGGAAGGGAAATTTTAATAGTGAAATTTTTACAGAAGAGTTACTTCGTAGCTGGCGATCAAGTAGCCCGGTTGTTAAGGGGCACCAACCGGGCAGTCATTTTCGGGGTTAAAAAGGGGTAAATGACACCCAAAAACAATGTAAAAGTTGATAGATTAATTATTTGTTAACATTTGCACCGTTATTTGCATTGTTATTCATTAATTAAAGAAAAATATATTGTTGGTGTGTTGTACGGCTATATAGGCTTATAGGGAAAATGCCGCGAGGTGGCGACAGTATCGACTTCCCGCCTAGGTCGGTCTAGTTGACGGCAGTGGCGGGAGAAATTGACAGTGGAAAATGCATCCGTTGCATCTTGCAAATGCATTACCTTTCTTTCAATTTGAAAAATTAATGGCAAACCCATTTTAGCACATGTTTTTTTTTTCTTAATGAATAAAGGTGGCGGCGGAGGGGGGGGGAATTTTGTAAATTAGTAATAAAACCATTTTCCGCATTGTTCCTTTTAATGAATAAAAGTGGAGGGGGGAATTTTTTAATTTGTAATGTAAGCATTTAGCGCCATTGTTTTTTTTCTTAATGAGTCGGGGCGGGGGGAGTTTGAAAAAAAAGGTCTCCGAAAGTTATACTCAAATAACTTAGAATCAACTGAAACGTGGAAGTATAGTATTCCAAATTTTTGCATTTTCAAATTTCCTTTGCAACGCTAAAAATAAATGTCTCGTAAAGTTATACCCTGGTGACTCAGCGTTATCTGAAACGTGGATATTCATAATTCCCTGAAAAAGTGTTTTTTCAAATTGTTTGGTCGTAATTTGGAATTTTGAAATTCTATTGAAAAATTGAAAAAAAATAGTCTCGAAAAGTTATACTCAGATGACCCAACATAATCTGAAAAGTCAAGATTTACTACCCCCTCAAAACCAAACCGAACGTATGACGCTGAAACTAGCGGGTGACCGTAGCGGGAGATGTGGTGGGGGGACTGTACCGCCCCCACTACCGCCACTCACTGCACGCTCCCATCTCGTTAAATTACAAAAATTAATACAACGCAAAGCCGTGAAAAATTAAAAATATTGTCTATTTGTACCCGAGGGATGGGGAAAGACTAATGGGGGGGAGATATATCGGTGCACCAATCGGTGCACTATCGGTGAAGGAGTGTACCAATCACTCCCACCAGTCATGTTTATGCCTATCCGTATGAACCTGAACCGCAGTTGAGAACACTTCAGGAATGCGAAACCTATGCTAACGCTGCAACTCCGGATGTGCCAGTAATGCGAATAAAGAGCCATACTGCTTTCTCACGAATAATGCCTGATTATATGCGAGGAATGGCTATAGACAGAATGCACGAAATTGAAGGGGGAGTAGTGAAAAATATTTTAAATCTACTCTTCGATTCAAATCTCAGTACTTTGCCACTTTCCTTGTACCGGTTCAAAGAATTGATAAATATTCGACTAAAATTCATTAAACCTTCTAAGTCAGTACACCGAATGTGGTTTTTTTATTATTCGATCCCCGTGCTACAAGGTGTCATGCGAAATGATTATTTTCAGCACTACGTCCTTTTAGTGACAGCCATATCCTTACTCAACTGCGATCTCATCACTGTACCTATGCTCGCAATGGCTAAGGAATTTCTCCATAAATGGGTTAGAGAATTTCAAGATTTATATGGACTTCGTTTTTGCAGTATAAATGTTCATCAACTCTTGCATTTACCAGAAAAAGTGTATCAACTGAGGCCCTTGTCGGTTTATTCTTGTTTTCAATATGACGACCAATGGAAAGTTCGTAAAACTTGTCCACGGAACGTGGCACTTGGACACTCAAATCGCAAGAAAACACGAGCAAATAGTTGCCATGGTAAAACTTGTGGAGAGACTGCCCAATGGAAGGATTCGAGATTTGTGTTCAAGTAAGTAGCGTCAAGTCCAAATCCTTGAGAAGATTTGTTTACAGTCATATAGTGTTGGCACATATAGACCCTAAGGGTCTTGCCCAAGACCCTTGTTAAAATATCTAATGTCATTTCAGAAGCATTACTGAATGGAGGGTATGATGAGTGGGAGAGAATCTTTCAATACTTCAGATTATTGAAAGATAAAATATTATATATTGCTAAAGATTATCCTCGTATACTGCCAACAACTTCATATATTGTAAAATATACACAATTAGATGGAACTTGGTCATCAGGTGCAGTCAACAGCTTTGCGAAATTGACCTCAGTGTGTCATTGTATCGAAGATTGCAGATGTAGAGACGCACATATAGCTGTAATCAACGTAATCACTAATAACGTATTTTTAGTCGGGGGAGAAGAATACACTTCCTGAGTCGAATAATTGGACCTGACAAATTCTACTTAGGTCTTTCCGTTCAGAACTGGATAGGTCTTGGGAAGCCTCTTCCCAAGTGCTTCCGAGACCTTTCTATCTCTGGTTATGTCCCATTTCAGCATTTGTTAGGTGTAAGCAGGACTTGTATTCAGACTTTCCAAATCCTTGCCGGTCCAAGTAATTCTATGGGCCTATATTAAATCTGCGTTCATATCCCTATTTACTCATGCGTTATTGAAATAAAAAATGTAATTATTGTTTTTTTTTTAATCTCGAAAATCGACATTTCACGAGAGGGTGAAGGGGAGATGCATGTATGTGGAGGTTTGACATTTTTACCCAAGGGGAGAAGGTTGCAGAATCTATTCTAGCCACTCTTGTCCCTAGCTTGCATGCGTTATCCAAATAAAAAATGAAAGTGTTAACAAATCTGACCATTGTTCCAAGTACAAACAGAAAATCTGACCCGGTGGCCCCCGGTGAGAAATTTTTTTTTCAGCTTTCACTTTTTCCACATACTTTTGAGAGTTCTGAATAGTCCGTCGCTTAAATCGTTGGAATCAACGTTCACCCGGCTAAAAAATTCGATTTTGGCGAAAATCCACTTGCCCCGGAAAACCCGAAAACCAGACCCTTTGGCTGGAGCCAAAAAAAAATTACCAATCTCTATTAATTTTTTAAAATTCCTATGATTGATTAATCTCTGCTTCTCTTTCAGATAACAATATTTAAACAAATCTGTAATAAGGTGTAAGGATATTTTCCCGGGTTGTTCACCCAGGAAAAATTCAAACTACTTTTTAAGCCTTCTCCATCGCTCATTTGTTGGGCGCCAGCCAAACCTTCACGGGAGGTTTGACGAAAACCGGCCTCCGAGGCACTCTCGTCTACCCAGAGAACTTTTTGGCTGGACAATGGATTGCCTAGGTAATATCAGCGTGATACGGTAGAGTGGGCGAGGTCCACCAGGAGTATTACCATCACATCCTCACGAGCCTTTGCAAGCCGTGTATTATACCTTACGACATAACCTCCCATAATGAATTAAATTCATGACCTTCTGGAGAGTCTTTCGACTCTGCCTACGAGTATTTCGATTCGGGGGAATTTTCAGAGTCAAGTGCGAATCAGCCGGGACTCCTCAGAGCCTGGGATGTCGAGAAGCTGATCCGACCAAGGTGGAGCACTGTTACCCACTTCACGACCACCCACANCCATAATGAATTAAATTCATGACCTTCTGGAGAGTCTTTCGACTCTGCCTACGAGTATTTCGATTCGGGGGAATTTTCAGAGTCAAGTGCGAATCAGCCGGGACTCCTCAGAGCCTGGGATGTCGAGAAGCTGATCCGACCAAGGTGGAGCACTGTTACCCACTTCACGACCACCCACACTCGGCCACCAGTTACCGCTTCGGTCATCGCACGTCACCGTCTCCGGGTACTCAAATGTCGGCACATCGTCGGATCGACAGGAGGACGATCTCTACTCCAGACCCACGGGCCCATGTGCTCTTTATTTGTTTCGCCGAGCCAGATAACGCCGGAAACAACAAAGTCGTCACTTCGCGTGCCGAAATAACTCCTTTTTACTAGCAGGGGATGCAGGAGCATCCCCCTACGCTCGCCGCCAACGGTTATTCACTACGTCAAGTCCGAAACTCCTTATCATGGCTTCTTCAGCCATTCCTCAATCCAGCATACCGAGAGATTCTTTCAACCTCTCGGTTCAAGCGCTCGCGTTCGACTAACTCGGAATCTTACTATGGCTTTGCCTCCTAGTCTGGATATCTCGGCGACGATAGGTCATTCCATTACCCAATTCCCACCAATCAATCCGACGGGATCACGGAGGTACCAGTCCTTTCACCTGGCCCTTGGTCCCTAGTCTACTCCGATATAGCGTATAGAATCGCCCAGTTGGACAGCCTGTACGTCGGCCCCTTTCCCCCTAGCACAAGCTGGGCGAATTCTAATATAGCGATAGTCTAGTAACGCCTTCCAGACTTCCGGGGTCGCGGTTTCACCCATAACCGCTATGCCTTCGGTCTATCATAGGTCTGTGATTCTTCTCATCTAGTCCCGGCTGCTTCAGCCGCCTCTGGATGTCGATTACTGTCTCTCTTCAGCAATTTCAGAGTTCACATCTTCTTTTAAGGGGTAACGGAACCGACCACAAAAAGACGTTTACCAAAAACAAGTTTTCTTGGATTCTATGCAATGAGAATCAATGACACTTTTTCCCCGTATTGAGAGTAGCGGAACGCATTGCTCTCTTTTCATGCTTTTTTTATTCATGCAAAAAAAATTGCAAATTATTCAACGGCAAGGACCAGGGCAAGGTCGACGCCATTTTATTTGTAGGAATCTGCCAAGTCATGGTAGAAAAACCAATTTTTTGTAGATTTTTCTTAGCCGATGGTTATTTTCATGAGAAGAGAGCGATCGAGTGAGGTCCAAGACAGAGATTTTGAGTACAAAAACGTACTTTTGTTGCGTAATTTTCGTAAAAACTTGTTTATATGATGATTGGGTGGTATCCAGGAGGTAACATGTCCTTTACAGGGCACCAATTGTATCAGAAGATGATGTAGAATGTTTCCATACCATTATTATTTATTTATATCCATTTATTTATATTTTATGAGCTTTTGTACTTTTCACGTACAAAATCCAAAAAACCACGGGAACCTGCAATACCGATAGGGGGGGACCCCTAACCACTACGTGCGATAGGTTCCGCTACCCCTTAAGGGGATTTCAACCCGTAACGAGAAATTCTCGTTACAAAAGATTATCTGTGAATAACTGTAAAAGAGCCATGCAGATTTAACAAGGGAAAACTTGGATCACATAAAATTCTCTAAAAAGAGGCGACGACATCCTTAGATTTCTGGTTTTTTATCCATCTCAGGGAAGGAAATCCGAATTCGAAATTTTTATCGCATTTGAAGAAATTATGAGGATTCAACTTCGATGATGGACACCGAACATACAAAGAATGTATAAAAAAAAATCTTCAATTTCTTGACTTATTTTCGACACCCCCCCCCCC